TCAGATTGACGTCAAAATCTATTTTGTCGTCGTTATAAGATTTCTATTCCGCGCTTAAATTTATCTATAATCTCCGTATTTCTGATCGAAATTCTAACAAAGAACTGCGAACGATAGTATTGTTGTCCCGCCTACCTCCAAGTCAATTTTCAAAACAGATTTGAATAGATTTTCATATTTATATAGATATTTATATGGATTTTCACAAATCATAACTTTTTGGGGAAAACGAAGAGAGATAACTCTATAATTTTGGTAAAACTTGTGTTTTTCACTATAGAAATCAATGGAAAACGGAAAATATTTTTAAAACATCCCCCCCTCCCCCCGGAGAAACAAAAATTCCTTTTTACATGTATTTAGAATCGTTATTTAACAAATTCATACCAAAGCTTTTATTGTTTCACGGGGGGAGGGGGGGGGCATATGTCAAATTTTAACTGGGCTTACAACTTTATCAATCATATATGTTTAATTTTACAGGAGTTATTCGTACAAACAAAATTAAGGGACATTTATCAATATCCAAGAATATTTTAAAATCCGGTGATGTTTTTTGTTTGTTTGTTGTTTAACGTCCCTCTCGAGAATTTTTCACTCATATGGAGACGCGACCATTTGCCAGGCCCGTAGGAAGTAAATTAAGTTGGGGGGGGGGGGGCACTGCAATACATTTTCAGTTGTGGGCACTATCAACTACCAAAAATTCCTTTACAAGCAAAAAACAAAAACAAAAACAAAACAAAAAGGTCAACAGACGTTTTTATTGAGGGGGCACAGACATATAGTAGCTATGTTTTCTATTGTAATCTAAATATCGGCAAAATTATTGGGGGACATCCCCCCCCCAGTTCCTACGGCCTTGCTTGCCGATGGAGAGCTGCAAATTTTGACCTATACTCGGCACTTAGGGCCATTGAGCAGTGAGGGATCTTTTTCGTGCCAATACCTACTGCGACACGGGACCTCGATTTATACAGTCTCATCCGAAGGACCGGTCTCCACGTCCCACAGTGGAATCTGGTGATGATTTGAAGCCTGATTTCAATGGAAAACATCGTCTATCCCCCTTATAAAAAGAGATGTAACTAAGAGTAATTAATTATTTGACATTGGTATTAAAATTATTAATCAATTACCATTGAACTCTTCTTTGTATTCAAAGTACTTTGAATGACCAAATTAACATTAGTATTGAATTAAATGGGTGTAAAATGTAGGCGGGAATCGAGCGTTAGCGTGCGTAGTTCTTTGAACAAAATGAAGTCAAAGTTAAATTGAAAAGTTATATACATAATTTGAATTATTTTCGCTCTTACTATGGCTCCATCGGGAGTTTGAACGTTGGTGTTACATATTTTTAATATCTGATTTCATAACTGCGCCGGGTACCCCTACCACTGGCACGTGAATATACCATTGAAAAGAAGAAATATGATATTTGTAAAATATTTTTTGCTTTTATTAATTCTTGGTGTTTGTCAAACATTCATACAAATTTTCACCGAAAGACGTTCATTGGAAAGAAGAATATACACAATGTCTCAATAATTTCCGAACAGCCATCGTTTTCTTCTTCTTCTTTTTTTCAATTTATTTTTTCATTATTAAGATGCATACTCTGACGTGAATATGCGAAATGAACGCAACTTATTCTTCAAACGAACGAACGAACAAGCAACCTTACCCCCCCCCCCCCCCACCACCACCACCCTCCCTCCAAAACAATCATTATTTCAAATTGAATATATCGATTAACATTTCATAAAACCTTATTTTACAGTATATACTGGAATATATGAGACAGGTTTTATTTACTGTAATTCATTTTAAGAATTCGCCATTGGTCCGCTTATAAGTGTCGGTATACAACTTTTGGCCAGAATCGATAATTTCAGTTAATTGTTGCATTTTATTCATCTGTTTTTTTTAAAATTATAATATAGGGTAAAACATCGAAAATTGATATTTTTTGCTACGTAAACAATATAAATAATGAGCAATACACATTTTAAACAAAAATAAAATCATGCAACACTGTAGAGGATCCACTGAAGTATGAAATAAAACAAAAACTGAGAGACAAAGATATGTTGCCCAAAAGCAAGAGAAGCAGGATGATCAGGTATCATAAGAATAGTTAGTCTTATACTCAGTAATAAATCATTGAATAGATCTATGTACTTCCAGTACTAATACATGTGTTATCATCATTATGCAGACTAAACAATAGTACTTGAGAACATGAAGAAAACCCTTCTCACTCGTTAACAAATTGACCTCGCTTGGTCTTTGAAGAATATATAATGTACAAAGTGACACAGTACTACAAACATAAAGTATTTTTGTCACACTTTTATTTATCTATTATTTACATTAAACACTATAAAAATACTTTTTGTATTATGCATTAAAAATTCTTGGTTTTTTTATGCATTTGATCGGTTTGTTCCCATTTTGCACACATGTGAATTTCAGGTATTGAAAAAATGTGTGCAAAACGGGAATTTGTTCAGGTAAGATAATTATTAATTGCTATAGTCTATATCATAGTTTGGAATTTGGAGAAAGAATATCTATGGAAAGAATAGGAATAAAAAATATTTATTTTGCATTTCATATTTTAAAGGTGTTTGGACACAGATTTGAAGTTAATATTTTCTCAGATTTTCTGTATAATATCATGACTTATATGTTGCTATAGCATTTCATACTAAAATATAATAAAAATCTTATTTCATCTCGAAGTTATTGAAAATTCAAATTTCTGGACGCGTTTGATTGACACATCCTTGCACTTTCACAATTTTTAATTTTATTCTTAATATTGAAGAAAAGTGGCAGTTTTGTTGTGTATTAATGAAAAGTATTAAAACTATAATCCAGAAAATTCAGAGTAGAAATGTTCGAAAGCAAAACCCACTCACAGTATTGTCAGTCCGTGCTCAGTGGTGTGTGCAGACTTTAACAATTGAACACACCCGGTGAATTGTTAACATTAACAATAACAGAGCTCGTGCCCTGTTTACAGAAACAGTTTACGTTTCACGGGTGTATTCAATTTGTTAAACTCTGTACACAACACTGAGCACGGGCTGATGATATTAGTGAGGGGTTTGCTTTCGCACATTTCTACTCTGAATTTTCTGGATTATAGATGTAATTATTTTTCATTAATACAAAACAAAATCGCTTCTTTTCTTTAATATTAAGGATAAAGATAAAATTTGTGAAAGTGCAAGAATGTGTTAATCAAACGCGTCCAGGAATTCGTAGTTCCAATAATTTCCAGATAAAATAAGTTTTTAACTGTATTTTCGTGTGAAATGCTATTGCAATATATAAGTCGTGATATTATACAGAAATTTTGAGAAAATATTAACTTCAAATCTGTGTCTAAGCACCTTTAATTGATTTATTTCGTGATAAGAAAAAGCTATTGTAAAACATAAAAAATATCATAAATACTAATCAAAACTATAATTATTTTCATATGTCTGTCTCTCACTCTCTTTCTTCTTAATTAATTAAGAATGAATTCATTCACTCATTTATTTTTATCTTTATGAATAAAAGGGGTAACTGCGATAAGGATATTTGTCTAAATTATTAATTTCATCTTCATTTGGGTTGGACAAATTAAATTTTCAAAATTTATTTTTTAAATTTATATTATAGTGCATTGGAAAACTACGGTTAATTCCAGGTAAATCCCAGACTGAGATCAGACTATAATTGCTATCGAAACATATTTCACACCTATTGTTCTATACCTAATTATCAAATGTGTGCAAAACGGGAACACACCATTTGACCTATCAGTTACGTTATTCAAGTGATTATTTATCACAGGAGAAAAGCATAGGAGATAAATTCTCTAAAAACAATTTTCCCTACAGTAGCAAAAGCACCAGCACCAAAGCATATTCGACCCAGTGATCTAGAATATCATAAATCTGGTAAAAACAATCTTGCTCATTACAACTTTGTACCTTTTTTTGCGTCCTAGATGCCCAGCATAAGAAAAGAAGAATTTCAAAGAATTAATGCATTTTCACTGTATAATCAATAGACCCCCTTCTTAACACCAAACCCCTGATCCAAGGGCTATGAATTTCACAATTTTCGAAAAGTCATCTTTGCTCATCATACCATGCACTAAGTTTGTTTGCTTAATACCCAGGGACAGAGAAGAAATTTTAAAAAGAATTTATGCATTTATACTATATGATCAACAGAGCCCAACCCTAACACCAGAACCCCTGACCATGCAGGGACCATGATTTTCACATTTTGGTAGAAGTTTCAATGCTTATTATAATTATGCCAACAATTTAACTGCATGATGTTCAAGAGTAAAGAAGATTGTTAAAGATTGCATTTATTTTGATGTTTTTCGCCCCACCCTTCAGGCCCCAGGAGAAATTCATATTTTTCCCCTTTACCCATAGATGTCATATGCCAAAGTTGGTTGTAATTGAATCAGCGGTTTCAGAGAAGAAGCTGAAAATGTTGAAATGTTTACGAACGACGCACAAAAAACAGATGCTGACTGAGGTGATCTAAATATCTGTATAAACACTTGTATTTTTTTAACATTGTAAACTTGTTCCTTTTCTGCACGAAAATATCTTCAAAATATTTTCAACTTTCACTTGCGGAGCTTCTAAAAAAATACTACATTTTGTCGTCGAGATAAATATCCATGCCTCTTGAACTCACATATAAGTTAAACGTAGAGTTTTGTACTATAATCCCAACTGAAATGAAGAAAGTTCAAGCAATTTGAATGAATGAGATTTAGTGAAAACTCAGTCTTTTAGTTTTAATACCAGGACAGATTTTAAGCAGTGCTAATTGTATAAATAATCTAGTTTCAGTTTCGGGTTTTAAGATGGGAATTTTGTTTTCGATGCGATAAATTTATACTGAGACCTATATATAAAGCAAACAAAACAGAAAGTGTGAATGAAATTTACTCGTTCATCCGAAAGTTACTCAAGCTTTCCTAAGTTTTTTAAACTAATTTTTTTGAGAGATGGGAAACATTTCTTCAAAAACAAGCTCTATTGAAAAAGACCATAAAGATCTCGCAAACCTCTTGGAATCTGCTAAATTCGGCAGGTGGGAAAAAGTATGGGAAATTATCGGTAGCCCAATGAATGAGAGGAAATCTTGGATGTTAAACTGTTGTCCAGAAAACCGTCGGTGGACAGTGCTGCAACAAGCTGTTTGGTGGAATAATACCGAAGTCGTCACTAAATTACTACAATTCCCCACCATTGATACTTATGGAAAAGCAAAAGAAGGTAAATCTGAAATTGGGGATGACGGAGGGTTAACGGCATTTGAGATAGCAGAAAAATTTAAATACAGTGGTGTTTCTCAACTTCTGCATAACTTTGTCTGCGGAATAGAAGAACAAGAAATTGACACTTTTCATGCGTATGGTCGAGAGATACAAAACCAAGAACTTGGATTACTTCGAATAACTTTGGCAGCGTATAAAAATACATTTCACCCGTCTGTTATTGATTCTTCAAAGCCATTGGCAGTTGTCTTGAAGGACATTTTTATGGGAATAGATACCACAAATAGATGGAAAACTGTGCGCGATAAGCTCTCTGAATCAGTATTTCTAGCTTGTACGGCATATAGCGAAGAACTAAAGAATTGTGAAAGTCGCGAGGACTTCTTCAAAACTATCGTTAATGTATATACAGATGAGAATACAAGATTATACACTCGAGTTAACACCGCGCTAAGACGTCAAAGATCACATGGCTACAGACCAACAGCGGAGGATTTGGCTTTGGGGCCATACATTCTGATGTACCAACTTCTACTGATGTTTTGGCTAAAATTAGAGAAGGAATCTAAAACAACATATCGAAAAATGCTCCTTACAAAAGATCACCAGGAAAAGTATAAAAAGGGCATCAAGTTCACTTGGTTATCATTTGTGTCAAGTTCCGTAAATCCCACGAAAGCCATCCCGTTTCCAACATGTGAACCAGAAGAAGAAACATGTACAAATGTAACGGTTTTTGAATTTGACAATACTTGCATTTGTCAGTGGCAACCACGAAACATTGAAAAATTTGCTATGTATGAGGAGGAGGAAAGAGTTTATCCTGCTGGCTCGCAATTCTACATAACAAATCGGACTGTCGGAAACGGTGAAACTCGAATTTACCTCAAACTACTCTCCAGTTAATGGAAATCTGACAGTTATTTTAATGTCCAAAATATTCTTTATTACAAGAAATAATTCTTTAATATGAGCCACTCGTTTATGCACATTGAAAACAATTTAAAGGTAATTAAACTTTTTATGAATCAAAATGAATATTTATGAATCAAATGTATATTTAATAATAAACCATATGAGTTTTTCGTTTCCTTTTTAATGTCATGTGTGATGTAAATAAAATGCTCAAAGGTAACATGTTAATCTGAGTAGCTTGTCTCCAATTGTAATTTGAAAAAAAAGTCAGGAAATTTTACAAACTTTGCATGGTCTATTTTATTGGGCGGTTGTTTTTGGCCATTAGAATCATTAGTTGTCATAGTATTTCTTCTTTACCAGTTTTAATGGTCATCTGTCTGTCAGAAAATAGATTCCGGGTCATAGAGTGGAATGGGTTCTAGTTTAAATAATATGCTGTTGCCAAAGTTTTTTTTTTACATTATACTTTTCTGCATAAATCATTAAACCTTGAAGGAAAGCGAAATAAGCGTTTTGTTAATTATATTCCCGACACAAATAATATATGAAAAGAAAACCACGAGTCCAAAGAAAAGAATACAGTTTACAGAAGGATATTCCCTTTTGTGACCCATAACATTTAAAGGTGCTTGGACACAGATTTGAAGTTAATATTTTCTCAAATTTTCTGTATAATTTCATCACTTGTATGTTGCTATAGCATTTCATACTAAAATATAATAAAAATCTTATTTCAACTCGAAGTTATTAAAACTTCGAATTTCTGGACGCGTTGGATTGACACATCCTTGCGCTTTCACATATTTTAATTTAATTCTTAATACTTAAGAAAAGTGGCAATTTTGTTGTGTATTAATTAAAAAAATGAAAACTATAACCCAGAAAATTCAGAGTAGAAATGTTCGAAAGCAAAACCCATTCACAGTATTGTAAGTCCGTGCTCAGTGGTGTGTGCAGAGTTTAACAATTGAACACACCCGGTGAATCGTAAACATTAACAATAACAGAGCTCGTACCCTGTTTACAAAAACAGTGTACGTTTCACGGGTGTGTTCACTTTGTTAAACTCTGTACACATCACAGAGCACGGACTGACAATAATGATGAGCTGGTTTTGCTTTCGAACATTTCTACTATGAATTTTCTGGATTATAGATGTAATATTTTTCATTAATACATAACAAAATCGCTTCTTTTCTTTAATATTAAGGATAAAGTTAACATTTGTGAAAGTGCAAAGATGTGTTAATCAAACGCGTGTTGGAATTCGTAGTTCCAATAATTTCCAGATAAAATAAGTTTTTAATTATATTTTCGTGTGAAATGTTATTGCAATATATAAGTCATGATATTATACAGAAAATTTGAGAAAATATCAAGTTCAAATCTGTGTCCAAGCACCTTTAAGTCCTCTAATTCAGTCATTTCAATCTTCAGCAAAAATTGATACCAAAACATTAGCTGACAAAATTTATTCTTGCCCAACCTTGATATGAAGAGCTCTTTAAAAGAGATTTTATGTAAATATTTGAACCCTTTTTGTGGTCCTATCATGGATTTTTAATAGTGAATACCTATCTGATTTGGCCTTTTGCTCGCTAAGATTAATATTTTATGTTATTTCTGTAGCAGGAAAAGTTTGAGGATAGGCGTTTTTAATTATAGTTCTGTTCAAAACTGCGCAATGAAAAAATGCAACTGTCTTTTTTTTAAGTTTTGGTATCAAAACAAAATCAAATATAATTTTAAAAAAATGAAAAATATAATCTGAAATAACACAATTTGAGAGAATGAAGAACTGTAGTTTTATTGTATCTACTGCACAACTATAAAGTCGATATCGCATCTTTTCTTATTAGGACATCCTTAATTTTTCGTCTATAGTAATACCCCTCTCCCCCTTGATCTAAAATAATTAAAATGGTTATACTTTGATTATTATACAGATGGGGGGCTTTATAGAACTTCTGTCAAAGGTCATGATTTTCTATACTGAGAGAATGTTTTCTGTATAAAGAATCATACAGGAGGAATTGTTTTTTACACAATAAATCAATCGGGGAAGATTTTCTACAAAGTAAACAATTTCGTTGGAAGTTTTACTAACATAAAACCTGGTGAAGCCTTTATGGTCATAATGTTTAATAAATAGCAGCACTTGAACCTTTAAAAAATGTGAATTTATTTTGTATAAGGAAGATTTAAATTCCAAATATCATGGGGTAAAGTTTATGGTCTCTGTCTTCCTGGACCCTGAGGGGTGTGCCAAAATTATAAGAATTAATGATTTTTCAAAAATCCTCTTTTCTCTAGGACATCGAGTGGTCAAAATGTTGGCATAATAATTATAATGAATAATTAACTCTCTATCAAAATTGTGAAATTCATTGCCCCTGAGCTTAAGGTTCAGACTACATGATTGGACTATGTTAGATATATTCTGAAAATGCATTATATCTTTTATATCAAAGCTTCCTCTCTACTTATTTGCATCTAGTAGCTAACTTGTTTTCATAATTATAACGAGCGCACAACCTATCACCAAATATTTTTGAAATTAATATTCCTAGGTCTATTGTTCAGACCTTATGCGGTATAGCATCTTTGCATAATTATAATGTATTAATATTTTGAAATTCATTCCCTGGGTCTATAGTACAGACCCTAGGGTGGGGCTTTTAAATGATAATAATAAAGCATTTGAAGTCAGATTCTAGGAGGAACGTGCAAAGGGCAAATTTGCCTTTTCTTAGTTTTGGCAACTGAGTCTAATTATTGACGGGGCATGCATACAATAAATGCCATTGAATCCTGCATATTTCATAGACATGAAATACTTCTGTTTGTGATGTTTTATTTCGTAAGAGTATGAAATATTAATAGATTTTCAATTGAATTTACGGGAAAACAACGTTTTAATGACTTCGGGGATCTATCATTTTTAAGAACATGAGTGATATCTGTGTTGTTTACGGTTTTGCTGGTAAAGTTATCGCTCCAACCTTGTTGAGAAATATAGGCATAGTCTAAAAGCTATGGTAAACCTGAGCATTTTTTGAAATCCAAATCTAATATATGTTTTTGAGCATTTCATATAATTTCTTTTATTTTGCTGGTTGTTCATGAATAATATCTGTTATATAAAATCAGAAGTTTTATTCATGTTAACTATTTAGATAGTCATTTAAAGACATCACATATTTTGACAACTTCGAGGACAGACTAAATTTTCCACTATGTCAAATACGTTGGGCCAAGTACATGCATTACTAGATATTATTTTTGTCACATTGAATCATGGATTTTCCTCAAGTTTTATTTTCTGTTTTGTAAAGCACCAGCGACTTCAGAAGTGATAATTAACCATGCAAGCGTAAGTAATTAAAACGTCACTCTTACACTCACACTCCTAACTTTTTGGGATTGATTTCACACGTGTATTTTTTTTTCAAATTATTATTTTAGAATGAAATGATGGGTAATTCTGTGAGCGCTAAACGAAGTTCCATTGAAGAAGAACACAGGAACCTTGCTAAACTCCTCAAAGCAGCAAAGTTTGGCAAATGGGACGAGGTATGGGAGGTTATCGGAAGTCCAAATTATGAGAAAAAGTCTTACATGTTAAATTGTATTCCAGAAGACCGACGCTGGTCTGTTTTGCAGCAAGCTGTTTGGTGGAATAAAACCGAAGTAGTAAATAAATTACTACAATTCTCTACCATTGATACTTATGGAAAAGCAAAAGAAGGTAAATCTGAAATTGGGGATGACGGAGGACTAACGGCATTTGAGATAGCAGAAAAATTTAAATACAGTGGCGTTTCCAAAGTCCTACATGGTTTTGTATGTGGTATAGATGGACTGGAAATCGACACCTTTCATGATTATAGCCAAGTTGTAGAAAGACAAGAATTTGGGCTCTTCGGGTTGACGTTGGCTTCATACAAAAAAACTTTTCATCCCTCTACCGTAGATCCAACAAAGCCATTATCAGTCGTCCTAAAGGATGTGTTCGAGGTAATGAATACCACTGATCAGTGGAAAACTGTTCGTGACAAGCTTTCCGAGTCTGTGTCTGTAGCCTATCAGGAATATTATGTAGAAATGAGAAGATGTGAAAGCAGGGATGTTTTTTTAAAGAAAATCATAAATGTTTACACAAATGAGGACAAACGACTGTATACTCGCGTTAACACCGCACTGCGACGCCAAAAAGCTCCAGGATATAAACCAACCGCAGAGGATTTAGCCCTGGGACCTTATATCCTAGCTTTTCAGTTACTGCTGATGTTCTGGAACAACTTAAAAACAGAACGTAAGACAACCTACAGAAAGATGATGCTTACGAAGAAGGACCTAGAAAAGTATCAAAAGGGCATCAAATTCATCTGGTTATCATTTGTTTCAAGCTCTGTAAATCCAGAAAAAGCTATCCCTTTTCCCACCCTCAGGCAAAATGAAGAGAGCACTTATTCTGCTATTTTCAAGATTGATAATTCATGCGCAAACACTTGTCTTTGGCAACCAAAAAATATTGAGAAGTTTGCAATGTTTCAAGAAGAAGAGAGGGTTTACCCTGCTGGTTCGCAATTTCTCGTAACAGATCGAATTGATAAATTCGACGAAACTCAAATATGTCTGAAGCTTCTATCTGTGCCATTGTAAACATGAAAATTGAGCAATTGACTACAATTTGACAACTATCATGATCATGCATTTATAACTTGAAAGCCAACAAGATTTCTACAAGCATGAGCTTAACATGATATTATAACCAACAAAAAAGTTTGAAGGAAGATTATGTTTAAGAAGGCCCATAGGAATCCCCGAGGATGCACGAATAAGGGGCGGGGAGAAAAAGACAAAAAAAAGTTAATTTACGATTGTGCCCCCTCAGCGCCGATTTAGTATTTATTGCCATTTAGTGATATCACCTATTCGACAAGGTGATATCACCTATTCGAAAAAGTGATATCACTCATTCAAATTAAATAGGTGATATCACCTATTCAAATAGGTGATATCACTTATTCGAATAGGTGATATCACCTTTTCGAATTGGTGATGTCACCTATTGGAAACAGTTATTATGCGTTTTTCACGATTTTTCCTATAGTATACATGATACATAAGTGTAATAAATATAATTTGTGAGCAAACAAACTACAAGTTCTACTGGGGTGCTTAAAACTAAATGCAACGTTGTAATCCATTGTCTCTAAGAACGCTAAGTTATAAAACGAAAGTGAAAGTAAATGAGACTTAAGACTATAGTCTTGGGAGCAGTTGTTATTTCATTAATAATTTGAATTGGTGATATCACCTATTTAAGTGATATCACTTATTCGAATAGGTGATTTCACCTATTAGAATAGGTGATATCACCTATTCAGAAGCTGAATAGGTGATATCACTAATTCCAATAGGTGATATCACCAACTGAATAGGTGATATCACCTATTCACAAATAGGTGATATAACTTTTTGGCAGTAAATACCAAAACGGCGCCTCATAAACATCTTACATTGTGAGTGTGTTAGTCAAAGAATTTCTTTTAGGTTGTGCCTCCCTCCAACTGAAACTGCCTCCTTGTCTGTAAATGATACTTTAAGGAGGCTGGGGGGTCAACAAATTAACCATCAGATATAACTTAATTTTTTAGATATGATATCTTAAGCTCTCAACTATCATTTGGCAAACAAAAATTTCATACATTTTAGTTTTAAAATTTGATCATTTTTGTATATCTTTATATGGAGCTCTTCTTCTAAAGGAGATCAATATAGTCTGAAAATGGCCACAACCACCCAGGCCTCTTAATCTTGGAAATTTAGAGTTCTGATGAATTGGAAGTCGTCCTTAAATACTATTTATTGAGTTTTGTCAATTATACTTGTCTTGTGGGTGTAAATTACAGGTCACTATGCTATGCTCAGGTACTTCTTATAAAGTTTGATGAGCGTTATTTCATGTATACGTACATTATTGAAATGACATATCTTAACGTATTGGTTGTACTATAGACCCCTGAATATGGTTGTATTGAGGAGACTCGAACTAAAATGTCATTCGTACTTCTGTACTTCTTTTCTGGTTCTGCCTGGTACTGCCCACAACCATCTTGTTGATTATTTTTGCCAGGTGGTGTGCGCAAGCAAAAATTTGTATTTCAAATTTTCTTTTCTTTTTTTTTATTAATCATTGTGCTTTCTTACATATAGGCCTATTTTATTTATTTTGTGTGTGTAATATACAATATACACATGTACATGTGTTTTGCATGCTAAACTTTAAATTTAATAGTTATATTTTTGTTTTCATGTGATATTTTAGCTTTGATAGTCGGTTTAAGAGCTCTATTGAGCTCATTCATGTATATGTTTTTTTTATGTACGAAATGCTGACTTAACTTTTTCTGTAGATTCATAGGTTGACCTCTACTTCCGGGTAAATTTGCTGTTTTAAGATTTTACCTCTTATTTTTTGTTTACTGCAACACAGTGCAAGTTTAACGAAATTTGTTTTTAGTAGAACTTGCAAGCGGTACAACATAGCCCCGCCCCCAAAAATTCTGCCAACGGCATTTTTATTTATTTAAATGTTCCAAAGTTCACTCTGACGTGATCCTTAATGTTTTTTTTTTTGTTCGTTGTTTAACGTCCCTCCCGAGAATTTTTCAGTCATATGGAGACGCCACCATTTTCCGGTGAAGGGCTGCAATTTTTAGGCCTATATTTGGCACTCAGAGGCATTGAGCAGTGAGGGATCTTTTTCGTGCCAGCACCTACTGCGACACGGGACCTCAGTTTATACGGTCTCATCCGAAGGACCGCTCTCCACGTCCAAAGTGGGATTGGAAGCCGCGACATAAGGATCAACTCCTTACACCGCGACTCTTACCACTGCGCCACGCAGTCGACAAACCCTTAATGAGATGGGGAAGTATCAAAGATCTGATTTTTTTTTTTAATCAGATTGTGTTTTTAAGATGAGTCAACCAAACTTTTGTCTTCATTATATAAAATTATATGGCAAATTACATTTACAATGTAAATTATATCAACCATACTTACTGATTTAACTTACATAAAAATTTAATAATCGGTGATAATAATCATCAACAAAGCATTTATAGCGAAATTCATTATTTTATTATCGTAAATATATATTTACACTATATGAAATCCCGCGCAAGCGCGGGGATTGAATTTATAACACTGTCGAGAGAAAATATATTGTAGTTTCTACTGACAGCCTACGGGCTTAAAGTAGGAAGAAATACTTTTTTCAAAATCCCACATGAAGTGGATGTACGACCCCCCCCCCCTTTTTTTTTTTAAAACAACTTAAAAATAATTTCATTAATTGACGTTTGTAGTGAAACCTGTTATACTATCTTATCGATATTGTACTTCAGATGCTCTTATTTCATTTCCATCAAGGATAAAAGCAGCGAATATGCACATTTTACTGATAAATTGATTTTTGGGGGGGGGGGAGGGGGATAAAATTCACAGTACTTGGGTCTTAGTTTATAAATATGTATGTACCTTATTGATATGTAAAAAATGTACTTTACTTTTTTTTTACATATCAATAAGGTACTTAAGTTATATTTAGAGTACGAGTTTTCGCAACTGAAATGCCGAGTGAGGTGTACGTGCAGGTATCTATCAATTTAAATAATTATAATTATGAGATGCATTTTATAATGTGTTTTCCCAAAATTTAATTTACGTCTTGTATCTAGTGTATTCTAAGAGGAGTAAGTAAGATCTCTGGTCCACCCGTTCGGAGTTTAATTGCAAAATTTATTAATTTATAAGTATAGATGTATACAGTGTATGTATCTGAAAAAAAAGTTGTAAAATGAGATGAAAATATAATTGATACTACTTTTTACGTAACTGTTTTAAATTTTGGGGGTAGTATTCATGTAACTTTGTTTATGAATATAATTATGAAAGGCTTGTGCAAATATCATTATCTCGCAACATGTTATGTTAAAGCTTTCTATTAATAGAATAGTTTTCTGTCAAAAGGCACCAGTTGAAAATTAATATAATCAATGGCAGAGAAGTAGGAATTAAGGTATTCAATATGGAATCAATTCTATTCTTTATGGCAAACCTACAATAGAAAAAACCTATTTCCATGGGAGAATATTTCCTAGAACGAAAACTTCCTTGGAAGGGACTCTCTATAGGAAAACTTACTTCATAATATCGGTAATTTTGCTCATAATTTGCAGATCATTGTTTTAATTTGATACTGATTACCAAAGCAACATTTTTAATAAATTTCTTTTATCTACAATGCAGAAGTGAAACAAGATTCCACGATCAGTATGTACTGTCCCAGCTGACAAAGCAGGTAACAACAAAGTCTTTGTGAGGCTCATTATTTGAATTGTACTTTAGAGGAAATAGGACTTAATTCTGTATGTGGTAATCCAACTTATACCCATATCTCCTTTTCTAAGGAGGAAATTCTTCAAAACCGTGTTTCAGTTTTAAATATTTTTAATATTCCCAACGATCAAAATGATTTTGAATTACCGTACGTATACTGGATTCCAAAACTCCATTAAAGGTGCATAGACACAGATTTGAAGTTTATATTTTCTCAAATTTTCTGTATAATATCACAACTTATATGTTGCTATAGCATTTCACACGAAAAAAAAAAAATTAAAAACTTATTTCATCTGGAAATTATTGAAACTACGAATTTCGGGAGGCGTTTGATTAACACATCCTTGCACTTTCACAATTTTTAACTTTATCCTTAATACTTAAGAAAAGTAGCAATTTTGTTGTGTATTAATGAATAATATTACATCTATAATCCAGAAAATTCAGAGTAAAAATGTGCTAAAGCAAAACCTACTCACTTAAGTATTGTCAGCCCGTGCTCAGTGTTGTGTAGTTGTGTACAGAGTTTAACAAATTAAATACACCGTGAAACGTTAACTGTTCTTGTAAACAGGGCACGAGCTCTGTAGTTGTTAATGTTTACGTTTCACCGGGTGTGTTCAATTGTTAAACTCTGCACACACCACTGAGCACGGACTGACAATACTGGTGAGAGGATTTTGCTTTCTACATTTCTATTCAGAAATTTCTGCATTATAGTTTTATTATTTTTCATTAATAAACAACAAAATTGCTACTTTTCTAAAGTAATAAGGATAAAGTTAAAATTTGTGAAAGTGCAAGGAAGTGTCTATCAAACGCGTCCAGAAATCGAAGTTTCAATAACTTCCAGATAAAATAAGATTTTTATCAAATTTTCGTATGAAATGCTATAGCAACATATAAGTCATGAAATTATACAGAAAATTCGAGTAAATATAAACTTCAAATCTGTGTCTAAGCACCTTTAAAATCCTTACAAACAAAGATACATAGCGCATGTAGCGGGTTCCAGTAAATACAAGCCTCTCGTTACTCCTCACTAAAATAATCTGAAGTTGATATTAAAAAGATGCTTGAGTTTCTGATTGTCATTATCTATGTAGTTTTTGGAGAGCAGATCTTCCAGCAATCTGTTAGATTCCCATGGGTAACAATTGTGCCCCGTTATTAGCAGTCCTATTTTTGTATTCATGTGAAGCAGAATTTATTCAAAATCTTATACATGAGAAGAAGAAAACACTTGCTGTGGCCTTCAACTCAACATTTAGATATATCGACAACGTATTATCAATTAACAATAGTTACTTCCATTCATATGTCGATTCGATATATCCCAGTGAACGTGAAATAAAAGACACTACAGAGTCTGACACATCTGTTTCATACTTGGATATTTTACTGGAAAAGGATGTTAATGGTATCCTTATTAACCTACAACAAAACTTTATGATACACCTGATGACTTCAACTTTTCTATCGTCAACTTCCCTTATTTATGTAGCAATATACTCTTATCACCTGCATATGTAGTTTATGTCTCCCAGTTGATTCGATATGCAAGAGCATGCTCTACGTTCGATCATTTTTTTTTAAAAAACGAGGCAAGCTATTAACCAACAAGTTCATGAAACAAGGATATCAACAGTCTCGTTTGAAGTCATCATTTTACAAGTTCTATGGTCAATACAATGACCTTATCAGCAAATACAATCTCTATCAAATGCTGACTGACGTTTTTCATACTAATTGTATGGCCATTATTTATACACTGAAATTTCTACGGATTTTTTTCCGTCTACCCGATCTTGACAATGAGCATACGGGGAATGTGACCGGTCGACAGAGGATTCGTACTCCTCTATGGCACCTGATCCCACCTCTAATGTTTTGGAGGTCCGTGTTTGCTCTGCTTCTGATTTTCATAGTTTGAATGGACTTATAAGCTTAAATACTGTTCATTATCTCCATATTTCATTATTTGATAAAATTCACAATTAGATACACATGTCTTACATGTATTATGGGGTATAGATTCATTGAGTGCTGTGGAGAACGAACCTGTTTTCTCTATTGTTTAAACATTTATCAAATATTCTGGCAGATTAACACATACACACACACACCCTCATAAAAATATATACACTATATATATATATATATATATATATATATATATATATATATATATATATATATATATATATATATATATATACAAAATTATGTATATATATATATATATACACACACAAAATTACATGTAAGATTCTTTAAAATGCATTGATTTGTAAATGCAAATATTGTTGAATATTTTAAAATGTACATATCTAATTGTGACCTAATTTAAACTTTGTAATTTACATGTAGGGAGAGGGCGTAATAAGTTTTTCGAAGTTGTTCCCAATCCCTTTGTAATTAGAAATTACAATAAAATGTGTTCAAACCAAAGCAACGATTATTTTTAACCAGAAATCCTCATTTAGAATATACAAGTTATTCAAGCTCTGCTCCCAATGGCTGAATGCGGCATCACAAATTTGAACCTTCATTTCAAAAATGGATAAATAGGAGAAATTCTTTAAATATTTTCTTCATGACAAAATTGCAGTTCTTCACATTCCTGTTATGTAGATTCAGATCTATTAATCAGATACCATGTTTTTTTAATATCTATTATTATTTGTTTATTATTATTATTATTTCTAACAGATGCCTTTTCAAGATGAAAATGAAATTCAGACAAATTTAGTATACCACACAGGGCAAACTTTGAGACAAATGAATTTTTGAATACAGAAAATTTTACAAAAAGCAAAATAGAAAGTAACACAATCGGGGGGGGGGGGGGGGGGGGGCTCATTACAAAAGTTTCAGATATATATATTCTTATGTATTATTATGTATTATATGTTATACATATATATTCTTATGTATATATATATAAATATATACATAAGAACGCTTTTAACCAGAATCTTCTTATCAAAGCTAAGCTTAAATTTAATTTATTTATATGAATACTATCTACATTTTTAAAGATAAGTTTCATTAGAAGATACAAACTTTTAATCTAACAACTTTTAATGAATGTATGTACCTGCGCTCTCTAAATTTTTGAGTGCTTGTGTAAATTAACCATTTTCAGACTAGGATATATTTTAAACTATGCCAATCAGTCCTTGCCTGGCTTACATTTGTTAAAAACGTTTCAAGGCTGTGGAATTTCCAGAAGATAACTTTCTGTTTCGATCGTAAAAGTCACAAGACTATCAGATGTAAGTATTCAATTTTTGTTCCTTTATTTTAATGGACATTTTTATTTTCTCTGATACATTTTGCCCACTTTTGATATTCACAGAGCAAAAAAAATTATTGCTCCATAAATTGATTTAATCAACATCTTTTTTTTAGTTTGTATTTTAGTTTGTAATATGTCTTGTAATGTACGTATTTCTTGCACACTAATAGAAAATCTGCTATAATTTAACTGTCGACGTATAAACTGAATAGTGCAGTCGGCAATCATTTACATTAAGAAAACACGACAAAAATTTGGTTTCAAGACAAACACCATATATCTAGACCCCGCTTCTTTTAATTTTCTTCCGTCCCTTTTTTTAATTGACTATAATATAATTTCTCTTTAAAATCGAATAAAATTAAATTTAAAAAAGTAAAAAAAAATATTAGTAATCACTTGAATTTTTTTTAACTTCATACAACAGAAAATATTTTGCTACATAATTATAGGTGTGGCTTTTATATTGCTTGATTATTTTCTTCTTTAAAAGAGATGGGTGAACAAGGCGTGCAGAATGCCTATAGCTTCAGATATATAAAAATCACATTCAATTTGTGAATTAAGGACAGATGATACAAACAAACTTTGTCAAGAATCTTAAAAATAACTTAAGTTCTGTTCAGAGGAGTAAAATGAATAACTTTAACCGGATAGATTTTTTTCATTCAAAGTTTCACAATAATTGGATTTAAAGTGACGAAAAGTTGTATAGATTAATAAGGATGGTTGCAGAAAGGTAGAATTTTGAACATCATAGAAAGTTTACAATTTCTTAATATTTTAGAAATTTATTATTCGCATCATTTACAACCAAAATAGGTCCAAAAATATATACCAATCCAGGCATCCATTTTTTTGTTTGTATCATCTGTCCTTAAGTATTTATAGTAAAGTTTCCATTATTGAAATTTATGAAATTATGATAAGAAAAAAACTTTTCTGAGGAAAATTTTCTCAGCAAAAATTATTCTTTTATTAAAAATATAATGTGGCATTCGTGGGATTCGAACCCTAGCAATAAAAATCCTGAGTATCATTCTCCTTTGAGACTAACACGCTAACCGCTACAATACACAGATCCTGATGAATGGTGGCATTTAAATCAAGTATGTGATATGACCCTGGACTAATCTAGTATTTCTCGGAAAGAAATGCATGTTGTGTCATAAAAGTGTATTTATAGAGGATCTTTGCTCCATCTTTTTGTTAACCAAAAAATTTATATTTTTACGCAAACTTTGGGGATAAACTTTCAAAAAAATGGAGCGAAGACCCACTCTTATCGAAAAATTGGGTTATAGTTTGAGAAAATGATCCTTTTTGCCCTCGTTATAGTGTGTATGCTATTTCATAGGCAAATAATTTTAATCTTTGTGAGATTTTTGAAAATTGCGGAGATTTTACAGAAAGCATACTTTAATGTTAGATGAAATATCCAAGAAAATTTCGTTATATAATTGAGATTTAATATTTCACCTTCATGCATTTCGCTCGCCTTGTTCACAAATTTTCCTTCATTCATAAAATGAATATTTATTAGAAACTGATTCTTGAAAATTAAAATTGATTAAAATTAATTGCATGAACGGGAAATACACTTTAATAACATTTCAAATTCATGTGGTTTCTGTCGTAAAAATTAAGACAAATGACAAATTTTAGCTTAAGTCTAAAACTGCTTCATGATCCCGGGGCCTGGCCATCATGCAAAACAAAAAAGGAAGATATGAAGCCGCTATGGTTCTGGGGGCTGTTGGTGACGCTTTAGGTTACAATAATGGACAATGGGAATTCTGTGACGATGGTCGACAAATTCACGAAGAATTAAAGAACATGGGTGGTTTGAACTCTATCCATGTAAAAGGTAATTATTTTCTATTTCTTTTTACACTTGGCTGCCTTGAAGCACTTCATTAAAACTCATAAATGAAATCAATGCAATGATAAAACTAACGCTATAAAACGTTGGATAACGTCAGATAACGTCACTGTCATTGTAAAAGCATGACAAATAATACATCAACTTCTATGTTCAATAGAAATTAATTTTACCAAATGTAATTTTAAAAAAGTTTTGCCAATATTCATTTTTCCAAATTTTAGCATAATATAATAAGATGAATCTTTATTGTAAAATAGTAATTAAGTTTGTCAGGGGAAAGAAAATCGTTAGCAAATACATACAAACACATTCGGTTTTGACACAATCCCTTCAAGATATAAATTGGAAAAAAAAAAACAGTTTTCTTCTACTGTTTATTTTCACCTTTTCTGATTAAAAGACGAAGTGGGCATTTTTTTGAAAATTACCCTTAATATGCTATACAAGCTAACTCAAAATGAATGAATGTGGATTGTATGATTCCTGACATATCTCCAATACACTGTGCTATGGGTAGAGACGTATGTAAGATACCTTTCAAGCTTGGCACAACCTTGTACAGAAACAGCCAAACACTCGCACAGCAATATGCACACGCACATTAGCGTAATACTTGTTGTGCTATAGGTCAAAGTCAATATAGCGCTAGCATATAACCCTATTGAATTGAAATTGAAAAATACATGTAAGTTCAACAATTAATATATTATACTTTGTGAAATTGATATTAAAGACAGAATATCAGAAATATCAAGTAGTTCAATATTGTCAAAATTCTAGACCATATAGGAGCCCTAATAAATATATAGCGTATTGTATGACCGTATTATATTGCTGAAACCATTCTTCCATAAAAATATAAGGATAACTGCACTTAACGCCGGGTTTTGGGTCTTTTTTGGTCGCTTCTGTTGCTTTTATATCTGAATCTTATTTCACTTTTGTATATTTATGAAAGAATCCTGTTAATTTGGAACCAAATTTAAATCTTAAAAGGATTTTAGACTGTGGTACAATAAAATGATTCTATGTTTTCTGTCCTTACTGCTTTCCAAATATTGAGAGTTTACACTTACCTGTCCTTAATTAAACATTAGGTATGCAAGAGAGGTGGAGCTAACATTGTCAGAATGGGTCTAAAATTAGAATAGATAAATAACTATCACAGTGGAAAATTCACTGTTGCAGAAAAAAAAACTTTATTTTGGACTTTAATTTTCAATTTCTAATTTTTGTCATTTTTTATTTCTTTTACGATATTTTTCGAATCCAGTTGTTTAATTGACCATTGACACCTTTTGGACTTTTGATCTGTTATAACAAAGAGACAGATTGTTTCAAGAACTGCGAATCTCTTATAACAACATTGTGTAATTATCTGTTTTTTTTATTTCCAAACATCAATGAGTCATTATGTATATTTAATTACTCCATACCCGTGAATCTTTCACTCATTTCACTTAATGTCAACACCTGTCATCTATTTACTCATTATGTACATTCTTATAAATAGTCATGTATAATTTCAATCTTTAGTCTGGAATATACATGTACGTAGGCCAGTCTCGGCCACGTCCGACTCGTCAGGACTCTGAGTCCGGAGGCCACTTCGGCCAATCCGACTCGATCATTTTTATTATGTCTGATTGCTGATTCATGTAAACTGTTGCCATCGTTGAAACTCATCTTATAACTAGTGCTAATTGTAACGGGAACCGTTACAGATGTTCCCCAAACGGCTCCCCAATCCCTTATGATGCCTCATTCCCTACAAGCTTCAATAAATTAGACAATACTTTTGTAATAAAGATGGACACTCTATTTTTAAGGGTATTTCATTGGAAAACTACTCCGATATAACTATATGGGTATTAGCCAATCAAATTTCAGCGCATGTGCTTGCACATGTTTTCTATATTTTTTACATTAATTTTCTTATAGTGTCTCACAATACATACATTTGTGTTAAATATTAAGGAATTTCATTGAAAAATAGGAGAGATGTAACCCTTTAAGTATTAGCCAATCAGAATTCAGCGTACGCGCATGCATGGCCTTGCATTCAATTTTGATAGTATCATAAATTTCATCCTGTTTTGTTGAAAACCAAGGGAATTATAGATATTTAAAGTTTCAACCAATCAGATTGCAGCACACCTGCATGCGCGTGTTTTCAAGAAATTTCCTATATAACATGTTGTAGCACCTTATAATATATATTTATATTCTAAATTTCAAAGTATTTTGTGAAAAAACAAGGAAATTATTGAGATTTTTGTATCAGCCAATCAGAGAAGAGAGCACGTGCATGCGCGTGAGTTCACGCTAATTTGACCATGTAATCTTGTCTAGACTACTAATATATCTTTATATTTTGAGTTTCAAAGCAATTCATCAAGAAATATAAAAGTTACGCCTTCATCAAGTATATCAGTCATTTCACTCATTGCACGCGCGCGCACGTGCATGCATGTGCGCGCAAAATGACCTTCGTTCCGAACACCTACACAACATGCCTATTAACCCTAAAAAGGTTTCATGTCAATCGGATGAGTGGTTCTATGAGAACACTCTCGGACAAAAAAGTACCGGAGAAGAAAGTAGAAAAAAAGAATAATAACTAGTTATAATTGTAACGGGGACCGTTACAGATGTTCCCCAAACGCTCCCCAACTCCCTTTTGGTGACTTATTCCCTGTAAGCTTCATTGAATAAGGCAATCAAGTATATTGTTTTTTTACGCATTACTCGCGCGCGCATGGGCATGCATGTGCAGGATGGTCATGTCATCTCGTCTATACTATAAATGCATCTTAATTCTGAGTATCGACACATTTCATCCAAAAATATAAAAGTTATGGCTATATCAAGTATATTGTTCATTTAAGCATTGCATGCGCACGCACGTGCATGCATGTGCATGTTGACCAAACTATCTTGTCTACATCATTAATATCTCTCCATATTATAAGTATTGAAGCATTTCGTCAAAAAGTATAAAAGTTACAGCTATGTCAATTTTATAAGTCATTTTAGCATTGCACGAGCGCGCACGTGAATGCATGTGCATGTTGACCATATCATCTTTTCTACACTCTTAGTATCTCTCTATATTAGAAGAATCAAAGCATTTCATCAAACAGTATAGAAGTAACGGCTATATCAAGTATATTGGTCATTTTTCGCATTGCACGTGCGCGCACGCGCATGCATGGTCTTGCATTCAATTTTGATAGTAACATAATGTTGGAATCCATTATACCTATTTATAATCTAAATTTCATCCTGTTTTGTTGAGAACCAAGAAAGTTATAGCCATTTAAAGTTTAAGCCAATCAGATTGCAGCACACGTGCATGCGCATGTTTTCATGAAAATTCTTATATATTATATTGTACAACCTCCTAATGTATGACTGTGTTCTAAATTTCAAAGTATTTTGTCAAAAAACAAAAAAGATACTGAGACTTTTGTTTCAGCCAATCAGAGCGAAGCGCACGTGCATGCGCGTGAGTTCATGCTGATTTGACCATGTCATCTTGTCTACTCTGCTAATATATCCTTAAGTTATAAGTTTCAAAGCATTTCATCAAAAAATGTAAAAGTTACGGCTATATGAAGTATGTCAGTCATTTCACTCATTGCACGCGCCCGCACGTGCATGCATGTGCGCGCAAAATGACCTTCGACGAGCACATCTACACAACATGCCTATTAACCCTAAAAAGGTTTTAGCTCAATTGGATGAGCAGTTTCCGAGAACACTCGCGGAACAAAAAGTACCGGAGAAGAAATAAGAACAAAAAATAATAATAATAATAATAATAATAATAATAATAATAATAATAAGAAACAGAGTAAAAACAATATGTTCCCAAACTTCGTTTGGGGAACATAATAATAATAAGAAGAAGAAGAAACAGAGTAAAAACAATATGTTCCCAAACTTCGTTTGGGGAACATAAATACGGAATCCTTCATCATTTGTTTTATCTCTGGAATTGCATATTGGTGGACCTTTGGGAATACGGCACACCTAAACTTCGTTTTTACCCCCACGGCCACACAGCGCCTCTACCTGTAACTCGTACCCTCTACGCCAACATTCCCTCACCGCAGTTCCAGAAGAATTCCTAAGTACCGTCCAAATCTACACGGTCACATAACAATGACGTGTGGAAAAAATCCCATTGCCATCTCGATTAATATTCTGTACTGACCAAGTGCAATACTGACAAAGGTTTTAAAACGAAATGAATAATAATGAGCATGTCCATATAATAAAAGCAGATTTTAAATCAACGCCAGACGATTTAAAGATGTACACGCTATAACTTGCGTCAGTTAAAAATAAAGTTGGAAATTTATTTTGTCAACCAAATAAAGTTACGAAAATATTGTAAATTACACGATTGGAAATGAACGCATTATAAAGATCTCAAATTATAATTATTTATTATCCTACTAGGAAAGTAATGCTATATTTAAATTCATGCATCATGTGACACCGTCGCTACTTTTAGATTGATAAACAAAAATGGCGTCAAGAAAACGAGGTAGGCCGTTTGGTATACAAAATAGCTTTTGACATGGATGGCATACGTTTTTTGTTTAAAGATACTTATCTTTGAAAATAACCATTATTAACCATCTACTCTGTAATGACAGATATTAACTTTTATTCAAAATAGTAGTCAAAATGCAACGTACCTCGTTGTCTATGATTTCCCGCGGACATGCGTGTCTATATACTGTTGTAGATTGGATGTTGACCATTCTTGCGATTAAAAGAAAAATGCTTGTTTTGTCGCAAATTTCGCACGTCCTTAAGTGCAGTCATCCTTTAGCAGAATTGCACAGGGGATGGGGATGGTAATATTGGATTTGGAATTAAGTTTTAATTGAGTAAAGACGACTTAATATAGAAGTGTGACCTATTCCTCTCTCTTTTTAATTTTAGTTCCACAGTGGCTTGTTAGTGATGATACAGTTATGCATCTTGCTACTGCAGAAGGTAAACATTAAAAAATATCTATACGCAAAAACATCCCATTTTTTAAACATGAAAATTATGCGAATGTTTTTATCCAATTGTTTTGAAATAATTTCCAATCGGAATATATCTTCAGCTTTAAGTAAATGCAGTAAACATGGTTCTGAAAGGGAACAACTCTACAGAGAAATTGCCATGAATTATAAAAAATGCATGAAGGACATGGAAGGGCGAGCACCAGGTAAGTTGTCCAAAACACGATTGCATTGTGCTGTAGAACTATTTGAAAAGACTGTGATCTTTGAAGACTAAGTTGTGGAAACAACACACGAAGATCAGTAGCCCTTTCAATTTCGTATTTGCTATGGAGATGCACGAACTAGAGGAATTAATAAGCCCATTATTTCCAGGGTTAATAGTTTAAGGTTGAAATACAATGATATGTTAAACTTAGTTGTGGACACAGTGACTTTTCAGTGTCATAATTTCTAGATAGGTATATTGTGCTCAAAGAGGGGAACTTATTGATTCAAGACCAACATATCAAAATTCAAGAAGACTGATTGATGTAACAGTTGACTATGTTTTGAATACCGCATCAATTAACTGAGTGAGACAGTGTAGTATCAAACTAAGTGATTGAAATCATTTATTACGAGCTGATGCCATGCTTCTGCAACCCTTGCGTTACCTTGTAATATTTACATACAATAGCTCGACTTTGTTGACGTTTTAGCAGTATATGTCACAGTAATTTCTTTTAATTGCAGGTAATATGTGTTGTTATTCTGTTAGTTTGCTTGATCCTTCAAAGCAGGACGTTAGAAATGGCTGCCAGGTTCCATTTTCAAAAAGGTAATTCTTTATGCTTTTATGCATGGATGATTTTATTGATCTTCATAATAAAAGAAACCCTTGTAAAATATCATGGTGTTACTTTTTCAAACAGCGGAGGAGGATGTGGTGCTGCAATGCGGTCCATGTGTATTGGTCTGCGATACCCTAAGTATGTTACAAGTGTCTAAGTATGTTACAAGTACAGTATTGTGCCATATATTTATGAACAAACGTAAAAATACCGTCATGATTTTGAAAGAATCATAAAAAAATGCTAGGTTTCTCGCAATTACACAATCTTACCATGCAAGTGTCTTACCTCTATAAATAGCTAAGAATTTCCACTATCGATCTATGACGTCATTTGTTAAATATGACGTCAGCTTAAAACGAAAAGGTCTCGTGAATGTAAACATGGGGAAAGGCAAAGAATTTTCTACACCCGTGAAACAAATGATTGTTGACAAATATCTGTCAGGACAAAAATATGCAACTATTGGCCGTGAATTGAACATTCCTCGGAACAGTGTGTATTCAGTTGTACAGCGCTATTTAGCTAGAGGTTCGGTGGAAAAGGCCCCAAGAAGTGGCAGAAAACGAAAAATGGACGACCGTGAAACTAGGAAACTTTTAAGAGTCGTAAAAACCAAACGTACTGTTCCGTTAGCTGGTATTACGGATATTATCAATCAGGGTAGGCATTCTCCTGTTTCACAGAGAACAGTCAAAAGACGATTGTATGAAAATAATTTTCATAGGAGGATTGTAAGAAAGAAGATCCGTATTCGCGACGAGAACCGCAAAAAACGTGTGGCATGGGCAAGAGGAAAGAGATTGTGGAGAGTTGAAGGAGAATGGGATAGAGTGATATTTACAGATGAATGTAAGGTAGTAATAGGAGAAAGCAACCGTGTGTATGTCTGGAGACGACCGGGTGAAGATTGGATGCCCGAGTGTTTATGCCCTGGTCCGCCGGTCAGAGTAAGTTTGATGATCTGGGCATGCATAACATGGAATGGTGTGGGGACAATATGTGTCGTAGATGGTAATATCAATGCACAAAAATATATAGACATACTTGATTCAGAACTTTGGCCCGTTGTAGCTCGGCATTTTCCAACAAACAATTTTATTTTTCAAGATGACAATGCGCTCGTTCATCGGGCCCGGATTGTTACTGAATTTAAACAGAGAAATGCCATCAACTCGATGACATGGCCAGCACAATCCCCTGATTGTAATATTATAGAAAACTGTTGGTTATTATTAAAAAATAAATTGAAGCAACGAATTTTAAATATAAACAATGCTGCCGACCTCGAACGTGAAATCCGCCATATTTGGACAGCCATCCCAACAACATGCATACAAAACTTGTATCGTTCAATTCCTAGACGCTTGCTTAAAGTAGTCAGTGCCAAGGGCAATATTACAAAATATTAAGGTAAGTTTTTATATTTAATTATCAAAATTTAGTGTATTATATATGGTTATAACATTCCCTGTAACTCATCTGTTTACGTCCGTTTACGTGACGTCGCCGACGTTTGTTCATAAATATATGGCACAATACTGTATCTAACTTGGAGGCATTAAATAAAATTCTAATTGCCAAGTCACATAACAAATCATGCAAAAGTTCATTCATCTATAATTTATTAAACTTTATACCTTTATATTTGAAACGGGTGATAGAAAGGAACAGCTCAGTGACCTTGTAGCTGTGAGTATCGAGTCTGGATGGATGACCCATAACCACCCTACAGGATATCTGGGAAGCTTGGCTTCTGCTCTCTTTGCATCTTATGCTATCCAAGGTACTATTGAGAGCACATCAGAATTGTATGTAATGGAACCCAAACTGAAGCTAAGCAGAAGTCTGTTTTCCCACTTTCAGGGATGGGGACTATAATGGTTATATTACAAGATAACAGCATATCGACAGTTAACTAAGGATAGAACACTTAAAAATCAAAGTGCCAATTATATTTAACATAATATTAAATCATAAAATTTGGTTTAAGGATAACAAAGTCAAAATAGAACACAAAGTCAGTAAAGTTTTATATTTTATTTATTAAAAACGGTATATAATTTGCAGATATGCCTCTGAAGGCCTGGGGCGCAGAGTTACTTAAGGTTATACCAGAAGCGTTGGAATACGTAAAATCACAAAATAACTCTTTGGATGAAAACTTACAAAACTGGTAATGAAGACTTTTAATTTTTTTTTTTTACTGTTTTAGGCGAACTGTATTCGTTTTATTTGAAACGTTTGGTCATAAACAAAAAATTTCAAAGTGCATTCTGTTATCTTCATTTAAAAAAGTTTCTCTTTGTTGGTAACAAAATTATGTTATCGAACAAATCTTTGCTTTATGATACGGCTTATATTAAACACACGATTGAAACAAAAGATGTATGTCAAAGTACTTTATATGTAACACATATTAAATTAAAACACTTAACGAGGCCGAGTCTAATTCCAGTGCGCATGACTTTGCGCAGCTTTTTAGTTTCATGCAGTCGTATCTGCAACAGAATCAGAAAATTTTATTTAAAGTCGTATTTTTTAACAAATAACATAAGCTCTGTAGAGCTTTTGACCGACAAGATTAGTAAGACATATACATAAAATACGTAAGTGACAATATACACATATAAACATAGTAAAATTTCAATGGCATGCAGCACAACAGACATAATTTACACACACAAATACACAACAAACAACACATATAGCATGCATTTACATATAGGACAATACATAGAAAGATACATAGAAATAAATATGAGTGAAAGGTCAAAATAGCACTTATACTCTAAAAAGGGTAGTATATAATTTAATATTATTGTATAAAATATGAGATAGCACTTTCGCTGGATTAAAAGTTAAACTTAATAATATCATAATTTTATGGTAAATTTACTCATTAAAATGAATAAACATACTAAACATAAGAAACAGAAAATTGAAAACTTAAAAACTACAACTAACTAAACTAAACTTTAAAAAAAACTGCAACATAAAACCTATCCAAGTATTGTAATTGTAATTCAAAATTAACATTATCTGTAACGTTTCTAGGTCTAAAATTGTGCTGTTAAGACAATATTTAGGAATAAATGCTGAAATGGCTTTTTCCGGTTCTGTAAGCAATGCATGACGCCGAAGAATGACGTTTGACTCGCTTGAGTATTCAAGACGTCCATGGACATTTTATTAAACACTGTTGACAGAACATCCAAAGAAACATACCAGCAATCTAAACATTGTTATTTTTTACCACAGTAATTCATCTGCGCCGATATATACAAATGTATGCCGCAATATGGCAAATTTAGAGGTATTGGGCATTGGGAAAAAATAAACTTCGTAATAATTCCTAGACCAAACCAGATGGTCAACTTTTTAACTGAAAACGAAATTCCTAGGGCAGAAATACAAAAAATATGGGAAAATGTGATAATTTGGCGCTTTTTCAACAAATTCCCATAGGGTCCAATAGTAAAATTTGACAACTTTTTAGATGGCCCTCTTAGAAATCGGGATGGTGAACATTTGATATTTTTATCTTAAAATAATTAATATAATAGTAAAATTCATTGAAGAAAATATATCAAAATATCTAGGGTAGAAATAATTAGACTCGGCCTCGTTAATTGTCAGTTATTTAAACGCTGTACATAGTGTGTTCTTTCTTGAAATACTCATACTTAAGCTAAAGACGATGCTGTTATCATTATTTCCAAGAACTTAATTTTTTCATAGGGATTATTTCTCAGAGGAGTGGGAAAAGTACCTTAAATTACGACAGCTGGACAGCGGGATGTCTGACCCAGTTTTCCCTCGTCACTATAACGTAGAGGATAGAGACAGATTCTATAGAGAACTTAGCTTCTCAGGATGCGGGGGTTCCAGTGGTCATGATGCCCCAATGATAGCGTACAATATTTATTCAATATTTATATTTATATTGTTTAATATAATTAATATTACAATATATATTGATACAATAATATTATATTTATATTGTACAATATTTATAATTAGTAGTAAAAAATAGTACCAAAAGGTTAATCACTCGTTTAGAATTATCATAAAGCCGTCAGAAAAATACATTTTAAAAAATACTACGTCGTTAAATAAAAAGTTTTTTTTTTTTTTTTTTTTTTTTTTTTTTTATATCAATCTCTGTGTTCTTAATTAATTCTAATGCACTTAAATGAACAAAAATAAAATCATATATTTTCTTTATTTTTATTCATGACAAAGTCTTTAAAAAATTACGTTTAACTATATAGGTATGATGCATTACTTGGAAGTGGAGGAGACTGGGAGGAATTGTGTAGCAGGTTTTATCTTTATTTTATTAGATCATCTAAGTCACTCAGGTGACCTGTTGTTATCTATTTTAGTCTGTCGTCGTCCGTTGGTCGTAAATTTTTGAATATTTTTAGCTTCTCGTAATTTTTTTAAGCATTTTCAAACAATTTGGTAAAGAGCATCTATGGGCAAAGGGAAATAAAAATTGGGAATTTCATGGCCCCTGCCCTCCTCCCCCGGGACCTGAAGGGTGGATCCAAAACCATCAAAACCAATGCAATTTTCAATTTTCTTCTTTACTCCAGGACATCAAGGAGTGATACTGTTGGCTAGATTATAACAAACAATGAGTCCTTTACCATCATTGTGAAATTCATGACCCAGGGTAAGGGTTTCTGGAGTTAGGGTGGGGCTCTATTGAACATATAGTAAAAATGTATTATTTCTGACAAAACTTTCTTCCCTGCTTCTGGGTATTGAACATACATACTGGTACCTAGAAAATTGTTTTGATGAGCAAGAATGCCTCTTTCAAAATTGTGAATTTCATGGCCCCTGGGTCAGGGGTTCTGGTGTTAGGGTGGGGTTCAAATGTTCATATAGTGAGAATGCTTAAATTCTGTAAACATCTTCTCTGTTCCTGGGTATTAAGCAAACATTTTTAGTGCATGGTTATGATGAGCAAGTATGCCTTCTCCAAAATTGTGAATTTCATGACCTCTAGGTCAGGGATTCTGGTATTAGGGCGGGGCTCTATTGATCAATAATGAAAATGCATTATTTCTTTGGAAATTTTCTCTGCCCTTGGGAATAAACATGTATAGCAGATAAACGAATTGTACAGTTATGATTATCCAAGTGCCTCTTTCAAAATTTAAATATTCATGGACCCTGGGTCAGGGGCTGTGGCGTTAGGGCATGACTCTATTGATCATATAATGAAAATGCATAAATTCTTTGATATTTTTTTCTGCCCTTGGGTAAATTAGAAAGCATACTGAGTGCAAGGTTATGGTGAGGTTGGCTGCCTCTTTCAAAATTGTGGAACCCCCGTCCCCCTCCGTGTCAGGGGTTCTGGTGTTCAGGTGGGACTCTATTGATTACATAGTGGAAATGCTTTGAAAATCTTCTCTGCACCTACGTTTTAATCAAACAATTTAAGTGCATGATTATGATAAGCAATGGTGCCTTTTCCAAAATTGTATAATTCCTGGTCCAGCAACAGGATTCTGGTGCTAAGGCGGGGTTCTATTGGTTATAATTCTCCAGGGACTCTTACCCTGGGTCATTATATAGTGAACTTGCATTATTTTCTTGAAAAATTTTCTTCACTGTTCCTAGGTATAAATTAAACAAACTGAGTGCATGGTTACGATGAGCAAGGGTGCCTCTTTCACAAATTGTTAAATTCCTGGATCCTTGGGTCAAAGGTTCTGGTATTATGACAAGGCTCTATTAATTGATTATATATGTCTTTGAAAAGCTTTTTTGCTACCGAGTTATCAGCAGATAATCTTAGTTCATGGTTACGATGAGCAAGGGTGCCTCTTTCACAAATTGTGAAATTCTTGACTCCTGGGTCATGGTTTCTGGTGTTAGGATGCACTCTACTGATAATATACTAGTAGTGAAAATTCATTACTTCTTTGAAAATCTTCTGTGCTCAGGGTTGTATTATACTCAGGTGGCCGTTAAGGACTTTTGTGCCTCTTGTACCGAATTCTTCAATTGTTCCAAAACTCGAACTTACAAAAAAATATGCATGTGTTCATCATATTTTTTGGTTTCAAATAATATAGTTTATAAGGTCTGAGAAAGTTAAGTATTTACTATAGTACTATGACAAATAATTATACACTAAACGTGTTTAAAATATTGCTTTAAAATACTTCGAAATGTATGATATACCTTTTACTTTATTTACTGAAAATGCAATACATTATTTACATGAATTTGATAAATTTTGGAATAAAAAAGTAATAAACTCGTACAAGTTCATTAAATAAAATAAATGAAATAAAATTACTGTTTACTATTTTCTCCATCTGACAATTTATTATTTTGATTTATTGATAGATAATTAAGGAAGTTATAAAAGTTATAATGGCTTGATAAACGCGGAGAAAGAAGATCTATAGATAGTTTAGGCCGGACTTGTTTGTATTCAGTTCTTTCGTATACTTGTTATATAATTTAATCCTATATAACCTAGTTAATAGAATATTTTTCCGAAAAAATAACAAAACATGTTTTTGGATGATAAAAGGCCGCAGCTTTAATAATTGTTTCAATGACAAATGTCAGAAAGCATTTAACAATCATTGGGTGCCACACACCTAAATTGGTAACGGGCGTTATGGCACCTCGCCTTCTAGGGTAATCCATAGCAAGGCGTAACAATATGTATTAATCGACTCCTAGGGTACCCCCTAGCGAGTCAGCTGGGATATCAACGTAATTGCCTCCTAGGGGATTCCTTAGCGAGGCTACTACCTGTTATACCGAACAGGTAAGCCCACTATACCGAGTAGGGCAAAATAAAACCACCCGTTATACCACACGGGGTACGAGGTTACTGTTATACCAAACAGATCCCTCACACAAGCTCCCAGTGCACTCCATAGCAAGCTTGTATTGGCTCCTAAGGTAGCCTTAGCGAGCCACCACATGCTCTACCAAGCATGTAAAATAGATAATCAAACATAATCAATAATATAATGATGACTAATGTCTCTGCTTGTCTGACATATCCGCCACTCACAGATGTTTATACATCTCTGCCACCCAACAAATAAACTTTAAGAGGAGATAAAAGCTTCTATGGCTGATTGCAAAGTGTTTGTTATAATTGCATTTCCCACATCCGACATATGCACTCCGTCAGCGCGGTAAAGCCCCTCCTCCGAAAATTCTATATCAGGGTGATTAATAACTCTGCCGTTAACTGATGCGACCGCCCTACGACCAGCTCTATTAACTCTTTTCCGTTTCCGTTCGACGGAGCATATGTCACGACCCCCTATCCAATTTCGGCGTGGGAGTATATCAGACCATATTATTTTGCAACTTGGAAATCTGTTTGTCATTAAACATATGTCGTGCTCTATTCTGGTACACAATTCCTCGCTCTTAATTGATGTGATATCATTCCCCCCTAGGTGGATTATTAAATATGCGGGAGGAGGACATTTTGCTAATTTTTTCTCGATACAATCAATAAGCTCCCCCCATTTCATGCCCCTTTTGCCAATCCAGGTTACCTGAACGCCTAAATTATCCAAACGTAAGTTAGTAGTCAGATTTGTAGCTGCCCATCTACACACCCAGTAAACAATCGAAGATCCCACAATCCATACAAGGTGCTCTAAAGAATTAATAAATAATATGGTAAATACAATTCATCAACAACGCTTATATCATATCTATTCTGATATACTTCAGGAATGCGCTTGATTTCCAGCGCCCTAGTAGTTGGATTTTGTCATGCGATACCCCTTTTGACGCAAGGCACGTTGCACCTCCAATTCTAAAAGAATGTGATTTGTAAGCGGAAATTGGGTGATTAATTGTCGAAAGGGTTTTTCTCAGGACTGCGTTAAACTGAAATCTAGTTAGCGGAGATTTATTACTATGCATGAATAATGAACCCTCAACATGTGGTCGTACTGCAAGAAATTTTTTCAAGTTATAAACTGGGCAAATGTTTCTTTGATGAAAAGATGGTAATAAAAGACAGATTCCCTTTCCTGTTTGATCGGTTTTAGAGAATCTTACAGAGATAGAGACACAAGGGACGCTTTTGGACGTGCAAAAGTTTATATCCTTAATAGTTAATGGTACATGGACGCAATGCTCCGAGGTATATACTAATTCCCCCACCCTAAATAGGCCGTAAAAAGCCAAGGTAAAAACTGATCTAAACAAAAATGTTTCATATTCCGAATAACTGGGGAGTGCCTATGGGCCAAATGGGCATTAATCTAAAAGCACTTTTGATATCGGATTTGGCTAGGAATGATCCGCGCCCTAGACGTTGAACCATGCTAATGGCCTCGTCAAATTTTGTGTAATTGACAGAACAAAGCGCTTCGTCAATAAAGTCATTGACAGAGTTATGGGTAGGGTAGGAGAGGTGGTGAATTACCCTAAATTCCCCTTCCGCTTTCTTGGGCACTACTCCCAGTGGCGAAACTCGCAAATTTGACATAGGCCGCGATTTAAATGGACCGGCCATCCGTCCTTTATCAATTTCTTTTTTGATATTATCTCTAGCAACATCTGCATGTTTATAAAATGAGGGCAAATTAGGTGCCTCTGTTTTTTCCCGAGGACCATGATAATGCAATCGAAAACCAAATTGAAAACCATTCATGAGTTCTTTCGCTATTTCCAAATTCGGATAATTTGTAAGGGATTTTTTTAAAGCTGAACTGTTTATAGGGGAGTTTGCTAATTTAAAGTTTCTGAGTTTTATTGGTTGCAGCAGTGCTGTTTGAAGCCTTTGAGATACGAAAAGTGTCATTTTTAGAACAACTAGATTTCGGATGCTTTCCCTTACAAATAGAACATAAATGCGCATATCTGCAATTGGCTGTGTTGCAACGACCCCTATTGTAACTAAAGCAGACACCAGTTTGGGTTGGCGCGTGCGCTGCAGCGAGGCTAGATTCTGGCCTGGGCGGGACAGCGATCAAGCGTAACCATAAATCCGAATTCAATTTTGACCAATTTCGGTAAGAAATTGCTTGACGCACTCTAAATTGCTCGTCATAATTTCTCCAGCCCATGCCAGGAAATTTCCTCGCCGCATCGCGAATAACAAACATATACTGCACCAATTCGGCTGCCCTCCCTGGGTGTCCTTGAATATAAATATGCAAAAATATAAGAAATGCATCTGTCCATCTATCGATGGTTGTAATTTTTTTCGTTTAAGACTTTAGGCTTAGCCTCAAGCTCACCCTTTTCATTTAACACAAAATTACTCCCAGCAGCAAACTGCTGCAGTTCTGCACTGCCCTTTGTCAACAGGGCTAAATTGATATAATTCCCAGCCCAAATTTTTTGTTTTAAGGAAAGTGGCACATGGGCACCTATATCGTCCCCAGCGCAAACCTCCATGTTTGGCATCGCCCCGAAATTATCTGCCGATGTCACGGCAGCTTCCTCCGGGGCAGGCCAAGAATTATGAAATCTAATTGCCTACCCTTATTAACGAGCAGCTCATGTTCAGGCTCCTCGGCCATTCCCATGGAGGCTGAAATAACTTCCTCCCTGGCCCGGGAATCTGACATGGTGTCAGTCTGGGCTTGGCGGACAACAGCTAAATTTCTTCTCCCCCCTCTGCCCTTCTGCTGTCTGGCTCCTCTGTTCCTATTACTTGCCCTGGTAGAATTGGCACTGGACTGGGATTTCTTGGATCTTATGGGTGGCATGGTTAAGGTTGTTTGATGTAACCGTTCGAGGAGGCTTTACAATTATTACGAGTGCAGAACGCTGGAGTAGCTATTGAGTGAGAGGAGGAATTCGCCACGTGCGCCCCTCTTTTATACTCGCGGCAATCGGGGGAAAGTGTCAAAAACACCTACCCCCTGTGTTTTTCGGAAATCAATTAAATACGTTTAATTTGCGATTGCATTAAACGACCTTAATTTATACAATTTATATTCAATAATATCATTCCTTAAACAAAATAAATAGAGCATTTCATTTAATGACACGCACGTATGGAATATTTGGTCGTTAATTGATCACTCAAGTTGTAAAGGGCGATATGGTTAAATCGTGTGATGTACTTAACTTGCTGCTTGTTTCAAATAAAATACGGTAAATGTTTCAGAGCTATGTTCCATGGAGGCGACAGTGATAGTACAGGTACAATAGCAGGTTTCTGCTTTGGAGCAATGTATGGTTTTCAAGGTGTTCCAGAAATAAACTTTAAGGTCAGATGTACGCAATTATTTTTTCTCCACGCGATAACAAATACATAATGCCATGTACATTTTGCCAATATACAATACTAAAGATTTGGTTATTTCTGTATATTTATGTTTATTATATAGTCTATTTATAGTCCCTATATAATATATACAAACGCAAACAGTTCATAACACTACATATTCACCGGATTTGAAGCCGTATTCACCGGAGGGTCAGTGAGCGTGCAGCGGCATTGTGACGTCACAATCAAATCCTCAAACAACGTTGTAAACGATTGGTTGCAACGGCCAGAGCCAGCTGTGTATCTGAGCAGGAAAAATGTCAGGCAAGCCTATCGCAGGATTATTTTCCAAACACGTCGATGTCTTACGCACAGCGGAAGAAAAACACAGACGTTATAACTTGTAATCTGGACATTTTTTTTTTATTTTTCAACGACAGAAGTTCGTAAATGAAAAGAATGTCGTCATGCATTTCAGTCATGAATGTCGTCATGCAGCCTTCAATGTCTTCAATTATTCAAATCCGGACTATATAATAAAACAATTATGGACTCTTTCGGTGGTGAATATGGCTTGTTATTCACCAGAAAAATATCAATATTGACCTCGGCTTCGCCTCGGTCAATATTGATATTTTTCTGGTGAATTACAAACCATATTCACCACCGAAAGAGTCCATAATTGTATAGTATTGTCTTTAAAAGAAATTTATATGTTCAAAATTTTAGTTGTAATTCAATACCAGTGAAGGATATTCTTTGGTCTATGTTCAGTTCCAGATCACATTATCATTTTTTTTCTACCCTAAAATTTATTATAAATTTCTGATTTTCGGTATAATAGTATGAATGATGATGTTTCAAACTTTTTTTGTATTTTTTCTGTTTCAGGATATCGAATACAAAGACAGACTGTTGAAGGAAGCAAGAAATTTATTTGCTTTGGCAAATGAGAAAAAGTAAAAAAAAAAAAAAAAGTTGACGACTGCCCTACATACATTTAGGATCTGTGCCTCTTTATTGGAAAAATGGGACATTCTAAAAATGAACTGTAACAATCAAGAAGGTGAAATTTTAACAAAAGTCCTAGGCGAAGAGTGGATTTACATGGATTTTCTGTACTCGAAAATTTCCAAGTCTGTTGTTGTATAATTACAACATTGTTATACACAAGCTTTTAAAACAAGCAATGAATTAATTTGGGTTAATTCTTATCATGCCAGGTAACTTTCATGTTTTTTTCCAATTTTATTTTAATTCAGTGAATGTATTTGAGAAACTTACTTATGTAAATCGAGGTTCGAAAGGAAGATACAGTTCATGTATATTGTGTATTACAATGAAAATTGTTTCTTTCGAGAAGCGAATTCTATTACATGTACCTCTCTTTAAAATGATATGTACGGTGGCGGGTGGCCACGAATTTAAAAAAAAAATCGTGGCCAGAAAAATAAAATTATGGCCGAATTATTTTGGTATATATTTTGTTTGTTAAGGAAGCTCTAAACACTGCTCACTGAAGAGTTTAAAATTCACTGTAGTTTTATGCATTTAGAGTGATCTGTCGTTTGGTGTGAAATGAAATTAAAAGAAATCTTCAGTAAATGAAATAAACTGAAATAGATTAATGTATTCTTACCATTATATTACACCAAGATAAAGTAATTAGAAACATTACGTGCATATATTTTCCCAATGTTAGTAAACAACATGCAGTGATTTCTGTTCACTAAATACTTCAATGTCTTTGAATATTTCTCCTGGAGAAATATGACATGTACCCTATATCGGAAATGACCTAGATAAATAAACTCAAAATGTACAACTATCTATGGTGCGATTTTCTCAAAGTCCAAAATACATTTTCCGTTAGTGTTTAGAGCTCCCTTAAGTAAATATGGAGAGGGTTCAAAACTTGCTTTCCAACTTTGCATGTTTTACAGTTAAATTATCATAAACCGTTAATCAATTACACTGTATAGCAAAATCGTTTACTTTGAAACATTACACTAAAATGTATTAAACTTTAAGAACCCTTGAATTATACCAGGCAAAAGAGGTTTTTGAATGATGTAAATATTTACCAATGTATAAAAAATGGAATGTATAAATTATGTGAGACATACTGTGAACAAACTAGTTTTGTACTGAACAAGCATAAATCGTTATAAAAATGCTTAGGATGCACATTTCAATTATAAAACCTTGTATCCTAAAGACATATTGTTGAATTTAACAAATCAGTAAATCATTTGCATCAAAGTCACAGTATTTCATTATGTTTCTATCATAATAATTACTATGAATCAAACAAGAGGCCCAGTGGCCTTTATGCCGTTTATGGTAAACTGTATGATACAACCCGGAAAAGATCTATAAAATGGCAACATGATAATTATTGATTGTTTATGTAAGATGTAATAAAGCAGAATAAATTGACAGAGGAAGATAGGTTGTTCACAAAAATCATATAGATCAAGGATCAACAAAATAGTTTTTCTAATAATCTGCAAGAAATCTGAAATTAGACGCAAGTGCTAATTGCACATCCAACTTGTCATTGTCACCAATCTTTAGAAAAATAAGCTTGAAGCTAATGTATTCAGAGCAACCCTATCATACACTCCTTCAATCAAGCCCTCCACCTCTTTAAAATATATATGGTGAAGATTAAAATATATTTATGTCCAATGTTTATTTTATTTTATGCTTACAAGTCTACCTGATCATTAAAAACTATACAGTAATTTCAATAAAGCAACTACCCTTGCATCAGAACCCATTACCCAGGGGCCATGAATTTCGCAATTTATATGTAAAGGCTCCCTTGCTCATAAGTGAAAACAAGTACGTACTTGGTTTGCCTGCTAGATGCCCAATAGCAGAGAACATCATTGGCCGCTGCTTTTTCAATAAAAATGAAACTCGTAAATTAATTTACCTTGTCATTGGTCATTTTCAACATTATTTTTTACCAGTATTGGACTTAAACCAACTTCATTTGATATCAATATGTCAGATTTAGACAAAACCAAATTTCTTTTAGTAAATTTCCCAAGACAAACCGGAAAATTCATATATTCAGCATATACTTACAGACAGTCTATTATTTATAATAATAATAATAATTGTACTTGTTCATAACACATATCACTATAATAAACCATTTACTTACTTACCTACTTACTTATTTTGTTAAAAAACATTCTGATTGTATACACAAGTACTCTGAAGTAGACATTAAGAAAATGCTTGAGTTTCTGATTGACAATATCTATGTAGTTTTTGGAGAGCAGATCTTCCAACAATTTGTTGGAATTCCCATGTGTACCAATTGCGCCCCGTTATTAGCAGACCTATTTTGTGTTCAAATGAAGCAGAATTTATTCAAAATATTTTACATGAGAAGAAAACACTTGCCGTGGCCTTCAACTCAACATTTAGATATATGACGTATTATCAATTGACAATAGTTCCTTCCATTCATATGTCGACTCGATATATCTCAGTGAGCTTGAAATAAAAGATACAATTTAACAATTTTGGTGGAAGGCTCATTGCTCATTACAAGTATGACAGCAGTTCAACTTCTCCAGGAGAAAAGGAGAAGATTTCTACAAATACCACTGATTTTGATGGTTTTAGACCGTCCCACCCCTAAGTGCCCAGAGAGACAGGGGCCATGAAATCTTAAACTGGTTTAAATTGGTTCAGCAGTTCCAGAGGACAAGCTGAAAATGTTCAAATGTTAACGAACGACGAAAGTCGCACAACGCACGTAACACGAGAAGAGATAGCAATAGCTAAACAAAAATACTACTCTATCTCGTTATTCCGAGATCTCTTAATTACGAGATTATCTTGCAATAATGAGATTTTTTCTCGTAATTACGAGATCTTTCCTCATAATTACGAGATATCTTCTCATATGTACGAGATATTTATCTTCTAATTGCTAGATAACATTGTTTATTTTTACTTGAAACGAATGGAACAAATAAAACAAATCTGCGAAATGTCTATTTTACAGCATCATTAGATAAGACCTGATGAAATAATTAACTTGCATAGGTCCATTGACCTGGAGAACTCGGCATGTTTTATCGCTACGTCATTTTAACGTTGCTTAAGCCTTAGATTTTTTTTTACATTGCAATGATCGGGAAGGCAAGCATTTTAAATCGTATTTCGTTTGTGTATTTGTTTAAACAGCTAGCTGCAGTTCCTTGGTTTTCCTGGCCTCTACATAAAATTTTATGTATGCCCACTGTGCCGCTCAAAATTCATTTTTATGATCTGATTATGTCATAATCAGATCTGTATTCTGTCCTTTCTGGCATATTTCATTTTATCAAATAAAATCTGCAACATGACAAAAATAGTCATAGTTTTAATTGATAAAATGAAATATGTCAAAAAGGACAATGCAATAATGAAAAGGAGATTGGCGAACAAGGCTTGCAAAATGCCTATAGCTTTTAAAACATGTATAAGAAAGATACGCATGTTGAGTCATAAAAGTAAATTTTTAGCATATAGTGGGTCTTTGCTCCATGTTTTTGTTAACCGAAAACGAAGAATGTATAATTTTACGCATACTTTGAATATAAACTTTCAAAAAAAAAAAAAAAGGAGAGAAGACCGACTCATATGAAAGAAATTTGTTTTAGTATGAAGAATTTATCATGTTTGCTCTCTTTCGTGTATGTATGCTATTTCATAGACGAATAATTTCAATCTTTGCGAGATTGTTGCGATTTGTGGAGATTTTACATAAAGTAAACCTTAATATTAAATGAAATATGAAAGAAAATTTCGTCATAATTGAGATTTATTTTTTTCATTTTTATACTTGTTGCACAATTTGCATTTTGATCGCATTGTTCGCCCATCTTTCTTTTAGCTCTACTGAAGAGCTTATGCGATAGTAAGGTTTCCGTCGTCCGTCCGTCTGTCTGTCTATCCGTCTGTCTGTAAACATTTTTTTCAAAACGCTACACGCTATTCCTCCTACAGTTTTGGTCTGATTTCAATATAACTTGGCACACAAGTAGACTAAACTAAGATACATAATTTAGTGCATCGGTTTTTGATTTCGATGAGCGGTGTTGCCATGGTTACTAAAAATAGAAATATCTGTGAAATTCCTTTAAAATGCTACTCCTCCTACAGTTTTGGTCTGATTTCAAAATAACTCGGCCCACAAGTAGATTTCACTAAGATATATAATCAAGTTTATCAGTTTTTGATTTCGATGAAGGGTGTTGCCATGGTTACTAAAAATAGAAATTTCTGTGAAATTCCTTTAAAATGCTACTCCTCCTACAGTTTTTGTCTAGTTTCAATATCACTTGACACATAAGTAGATTACACTAAGATACATAACTTAGTGCATCGGTTTTTGATTTGGATGAACGGTGTTGCCATGGTTACTAAATATAGAAATTTCTGTGAAATTCCTTTAAATTGCTACTCCTCCTACAGTTTTTGTTTGATTTCAGTATAACTTGGCACACAAGTAGACTACACTAAGATATATAATATTAAGTTTATTGCTGCATGTTGCAAAGTTTCAAATCCAAGTGCTACTTTTTCTTTGTTTTACATACCAGTAGAGCTACAGACTCATCAGAGACTTCTGGTTTACGATCTCCATGTTTATGATCAAAATTCTATCAAACTTGCACAAAATAAAGTCAAAAGAAAAATTAAGTGTACAATTTAACTAATACGTTTTCAAAATCTGATTTCATGACTGCGCCGGGTACACATATACCATTGACACATCAATATGATTGAAAAGTATGCGTACATGTATATGCTGTTGATTAGAAAAAAGAATAAACACAATGTTTCAATAACTCGTACAAGCTATTGTCAGTTCCAATGGTATATGATTAAAGCGTACTGTTAATTACATGCTATTTATTTTAGCATAAGAATTACCTATTGGACTTATATAAGCGGCTAATATGCAATGCACACAATTTAGAATTGATGCATGATCGATATTTCGTGTTCTTTGATAGATGATAACTTTACATGGGTAAAAGTTGATGCATCTTTATTCCTAGTAACGAACTTCAGACTAAAAAATGTATGAAACACTGCAAAATATTAATCATATGTGTAATAATATACTATGCAGTATTATCATAGATGAACAAGAAGAATTTAATATTAAACACTGTATCAATACTTCTTGTGAACAAAGCTATTGGTCCAATTTTTTTTTTTTTTTTTTTTTTTTTTTTTTTTTGGAAATAAGCTCATATGTTACTCCTCCTTTTTAAAAATGATTACTCTTCTATGGTTTCCCAATTAAAGACATTTATTGTCATTGTCTTTTATTAGTAAAATTAAGGAAAGACCAATATTTAAACACGTGTACAATTATTTTCATAGTAATGATTTTTTATTTTATTGCTATCAAGAAGGACAAGAAGGATTCATCTTGAAGGTGTTTTAAGCAGTGCTAGGAATGATGCATTTATTACAACATTGATAAATCTTAAATTATATAACAAAGGTACATCCACATATATTTATTCACAATGTCAACATTTTTTATCCTTATTTGCTTTTCAACTATATACCAACTACTAGAAAGGTATATATCAACTACTAGAAACGTATCTTAGTATTGTTTAAAACATGGATGAAGGTAAATTATGTTGTATGTTTTTGCAATCTTTCAAAGGCTTTAGATAATGTATGACACAAAGGTCTTATTCTTAAATTAAAAATTTATGGTATATCTGATGATGTTCTCCAAGGATGTTCAAGTTAACTATGTCAAAGATCACACAAAAGTTATGTACATGTATAAAGATCTCTTGTCATCAGAACACGATATTTTTGCAGGTGTACCTCAGGGTTCTGTTTTAGGACCACTATTATTTCTTATCTATGTAAATGGTGTTGCTGAAAATATGATTTCATTGTGAAGATTGTTTGCTGATGACATTTCACTCCATCAATCATCATACGATGTATTAGATATTGAATACAAATTAAATCTTGAATTACATATTTTAGAACTATTTGGCTTCTTACATGTAAATTCAATCCATCTAAAACAAATGTCGAATATTACAGTAAGAAAGACATTTCTGTTGTGTCAAAGTTATTTTTTAACGGCGACAGACTCGAGTGTGTTCCAGTCCATCGCCATTTGGGTCTATTATTGTCACAAAACTTAGTTGGTCAGAATATATTGAAGGTGTTGTAAGCAGTGCTAGGAATGATGCCCTTATTCCAACATTAATAAATCTTAAATTATATAACAAAGGTACATCCACATATTTATTCATAATTTCAACATTTTTTTTATCCTTATTTGCTTTTCAGTAAAAAATAAACTTAACCTGATTGATTTCTCCTTAATAAAGTATATTTATTTTGGAATGCATTATTCAAAAAACTATTTTTTTAATGTAAAAAAGCAATTGCTAAAGCATAAAACTTTAAACATTATAAATCGTTGACCTTTATTCTGTTGTTTTTCCAAAGATGCAGAAATTATATACAAATATATATATATTATTTACCAATGGAAATCTCTCATTCTGATCTGAACTCTGCATTGCAATAAAAGAATTCAAATTTGATGTAAGGCCATTCCAAGTTTTTTCTCTGTTTAGCGTCCACCAATCTTTCAAAAACCTACCTACCTATTTGCAAAAAAACACACAACCCCCAAAAATTAAACACAGACTCTATAGTCTTAAAAATGACGCCATTAAAAGCATTTGATTTCGTTAATCTAATTTTCTGGAAGAAAGATCTATTCTTCAGCAAAATCAATGTATTAATAGCGATTCTCTGTAACCACTTAAACTTCTTTGCCACGCATGGTCACCGATTTTGATGAAACTTTGCCCATTATAACAACTTGACACCAGAAACATATATCAAATAAAATTTCGTTGCTATGTGTCTTGGTTGCCATGGTAACAGCCAGAAAAGTTGGGAAAATTGAGATTTTCAGCTACTTTGAATCTTTATTAAGCCTTAATAAAGACTAAGAATAAGAAACAAACCATTCTCACAAAAACCTGACACCTTGTTGCCACTTATGCTATAAAGAAACTATTTAGAATTTATCTCTAAGTAAGTGGTAACCATGGGTACATTTGGAATACATTTTAGATGCTGAAAAATGCAGAAAAACGCTCAATATTCACCAATGACAGGTTTTAAATGATCAAACTCGATCAACAACCTAAGAAAAAACAATAAAAATATTTGACCTTAAGTAATTAGGTATTGGCAATATTATTCTAAAAATAACTTTCATGGTTGCCATGGTAACACAGTGTTACCATGCAAAATGTGTTGCTAAGATTGGGTTAATGCTACTATCTTCAGGAAAAACAATAAATTTCATGACTGGCACATATACATCCTTAGGACCTTGGAATACCGACAACATAAGAAAAATTGGGATTAATTGTTACGTTGCAGTGTAACCATGGAAACAATGTACCAGTTGTTTTAAGTGATTTTTTTTTGCTGCCTTAGGAATTTACTTACCTTTTATTCAAGAAACATATTATTTGACTCACCTTGAATAGTACTTATTTGGTAGAACTTAAGTTGAATATCATATATTGATAACATTTGTTGAAAAATACAACACTGTTGCTATGGTAACCAAGAAGGGAAAATGTTCAATGTTGTTAATTTCATATCAATATTAAACCCTATGTGCCAGCTTTTTGCATCCAGTTAGAGATTGGGTGGCAGTCAAAATTGAAAGTCAGGTTATTTGTTCATAATTATCAATCATAAAAGTTTTGGGAATCTACATACAAGGGTACGTATCCAAGGAAACAGAATATTTTTCAGATTTTTATGCATATTTTTTCGGCTTATTTCCATAGCAACGCTCTATTTAAAGAATTGAATTTGAATTTTTTGAAATGTGAAAATTTGGGTCACATGAACGTCTTTAAAAATTGATCATTAGTTATATAGAAATATGCTTTTTAAAAAGATAGGATTAGATTTAAACACTAAGAGAGTGAATTCAAAATCCCTTTGTGGTATTAAAACCATGGCAACCATTGTCAACCTATAAGAAATATCATATTTCTTCCTTGGTATATGTTACAAGGATCTTTTGTCTATAATTTGCTTACATTTCAACCTATAATTTTTTTTTATTCTTAAGTGTATAATTTTATAAAATTAAATGGGCAAAATTATTACTTTTGAATACTTTGTTTCCATAGAAACGTATGTAATAGTTGAAATACCAAACATGTTTATCATGCATTTAAGACATCAGGCCTTCAACTTTCAGAAACAATCATTGCCACTTATTTGCTTTGCTGCAAACGTTAACTGTGGGACTCTGAACATGTTGAAAAATGCCATTTTTCAAACTTTAGGACATGTTGTCATGGTAACCATGACACATAGCAACCAATTTCTGTCTGATTTGAGTTAACGGTGTCAAAGACTTTTATCATAGAGAGTTTGGAGAAATTCAGAGACTATGCGTGCCACAGCTCCTATATAAATGTTCAAGTCGTTACAGAGAATGGCTCTTAAATGCTTAAAATAAGCCTATTATGATTAATTGTAGACAAATACTTACAGAAATTGATATAATTAAAAGAATTTAAAAGATTTTGACCAGATTAATCAATTTTAGGGCTCCCGATTTTGTTTGTTTTTTCTGATATGGAGTGTCAAAAACCAAGGCGCACATGGACACTAAACATAGAAAAAACTTGGAATGGCCTAACTGTAAAAAGTTACATTTATATAACATATCATTTAATTGGAAATGGGCACCTGATCTTGGCCAAGCTGTCTTGTTAAATGTTTTGACATTATACAGATACAACTTGTATGTTCCCTCTTATTGCCAGATGTTTAAACTGGATATATCTTTTTTTGTTACAACTCATTTCATATATTTTACAGATGTAAGGTTTTCTTGTAGATATTCAAACTAAATTTTCACAGCTATAACTTGTTGGATACTCAGTCTTCTTGTCAGATGTTCAGACTTTATAAAGGGTGTTAAGAAAGTTCATTCCAAATTTTTCTTTCATTCTCAAAAAGAAATACAATGAGAGGATATTTAAAATTTGTGATATTTCATGTTCACAGAGTCCATTCTTGCTACCAATAAGGTTTTAACTGTGTTTTGCTGAAAGAAAAAGGGAAGGACAAGTACTGAAACAGATGATGTCTGTGCAGAAAAATCAGAGATGCAGCATATTTGTGAAATTTCTTAAGCACACAGGTCAAAATATCCTTTAAAATACAAAAAATGCAAAATTTATGTAGTCAGTAAAGAATTCCAATATCACAAACCAAATCTTTTGACTGATCTTTCTTTCACCTAAGCTCATCAGTTTTCTTTTTGATATAGGCTAAGCTGTGGAGAAACAAAAGTAAATAATCCTACATTTTCACACAAAATGACCAGCAATTCTGTCATTTTTGATGTTTTAAAGATGTCTATACATTATATATTTATATATGAAAAAAACCCTTTAACTTCCTGCTAGAAATTAACTGCTTTAAATTGAAAGCACAATCTTGTGATTTTGTCAGACTGGAAAATTAACCTCTTCAGTTTAACACTACAGTAAAACTTGTTTAGTACGAACACGGATATAGCGAATTTTTCTTGGATCCCTAGCTATATAAATTTAACGAATTTCTTATACGGATATAATGAATAACGGATATAACAAAGTAATTTCACAGGTCCCAGTGACTTCGTTATAACCAAGTTATACTGTACTTTGAAATTTTCAAAATACTTCATTATGGAATGAACTTTCTTAACACACTTTACATGTACAACTTGTTGCCAAATCCTAACAGATGTTCAGACTTTAAACATGTACAACTTGTTGCCAGATCCTAACAGATGTTACACTTTATACATGTACAACTTGGTACCAGATTCTATCAGATGTTCACACTTTATACATATACAACTTGGTACCAGATCCTAACAGATGTTCACACTTTATACATGTACAACTTGGTACCAGATCCTAACAGATGTTCACACTTTATACATGTACAACTTGGTACCAGATCCTAACAGATGTTCACACTTTATACATGTACTTGGTACCAGATCCTCACAGAAGTTCACACTTTATACATGTACAACTTGTTGCCAGATCCTAACAGCAGTGCAGAGTTGCCAGCTTTGTTTCCCCATCTATCAGAATACAACACCACTGGTATGCAGGTTGAAGAACAGGGCACTGGAGATGGAATGGTTCTAAGGAGTCTCCCTGAGTTCTTACACCAAAACCTTGTGTAACCTTCTAAATCACCTGAAACCAATACAAAGTATTGAATTAAATATTATTCTGAAATATTAAACCTCATCCTCTGACTGACTTTACCACTGGCGGATTTAAGGGGGGGCGTGGGGGGCGCACGCCCCCCCTAAAATTTTCAAAGTATGATATGACTAATATTAATAATGCCATACTGTGGTATATAACTAACCAATACCACTATTTTTGTGCCTGGTTTTACTCTTAAAATACACGAAAACCCAGGAGCTTCCGGGGGCTTCGCCCCCTGGGCCCCCACCAGGGCTTCGCCCTGGACCTATTGGGGGCCATAAGACGGCCCCCAGACCCCCTGCCTAAACGAAGTTATCTACGCCCCTCCTAATCACAAATCCTGTAACCGCCCATGTTTACTCTACCTTGGATGAGGTATAAACTACAAAACATGTACCACTTTTGTTTATATATACTTATATACATTTACTCTCTATTTAGTTTTTGCTACAATACAGTGTATGAGTAATCCTTTGATTTTATAATTGTCAATTTTGATTTCAAAATCAAGCTTTTTACTGTATCATTCAGGTATGATCCTCTCTGTATGTTTTTCTCATGTTTCTTAGTCATTTTAATGCAAAATGCACACAGTTATAAAAGACTTTAAAATCCTATGTTAAACCACTACTTAGAAAACAAACAGGACAACGTAAGAAAGAATGATAAAATATTATACTTACATCCATAAACTAACTTCTCTGAATCATCCATGTGAATTGGGATGCGTGTACCCTCATTTTTCATTCCTCTGTATTCCACCACTACCTTCTTCATCCGAAGATCCCATAGTAGTGCCTTAAATAAAAGATTTTTTTTTATAAATTTAATCAATTGAAATTCATTACCTTTCTGTATGAATGGATACTTACATTTGTCCAATTCATTTTTTTAAATTAAATCTTAAAACTGTGAAATGAAAGGTTTTGTCCCCTACCTTTTCCATTCCTCTCACAAAACCATTAAATGTACAATCCCAAACAGTTTGAACAAAACCAACAATATAAACAGACTTTATTCGCATTATTTTTATTTTAAAAAATTCTAAAAGGGAGGCTGGTTACTACAATGCACCATTAGTCAGTAAATATATGATTATACTAAGGCAAAATTCTGTGAAATTAAGTTTTTCAAATAATTTTGAATAATTAGTTAATTACATACATTTCCAAGTGCATCACTGGATAAGAGATGGACATCATCTTGTGTCAGCTGTAGACTTGTCACAACTCCTTTCATTCTCAGCTCCGTTAATGTTCGACTAGGGTGGCTGCGAGTGTCCCGAGTCAATATATGCCCCTTCATATTGCCACAAAACAGGAGACAAGGATTCTGAAGTGTAATTCGAATGATATAAAAAGTGTACACAAACTAAAGGTACTGTGAGCAGTGAGCTCACAAAATGATACCCCCACTTCCTTATAAATACTAGAGGTGCTGCCAGCACTGAGCTCACCAAATGATACCTCAACCTTAGCTCTCATATAGGTATAATGGCAAAGTCCATTGTTTGCTATGGGAAAGTAAGAGGTAACAATGGCACAATATAATAAAAATTCTATGAAATTATCATTAAAATTTATTCAGTGATATAGAAGAAGTTGTGGATAAGAAATGGGTACCCCTGATATCATAGAAAGAATGACAGTGTCCATGTTTTGTTATTGGAAACCTAAAATATGTGTCCAATCAACGAGTAAAATAGGAGGTGCACAATGGCACAGTGCATAAATATTCTGCGAAAGTATCATTAAACTTTATTCAGTGGTATAGGAGGAGTTGCAGAAAAGAAATGGGTACCCCTGATTTCATAAAAAGAATGGCAGTGGTCACATATTGCTATGGGAAACCTAAAATATATGTCTGATCATAAAGCAAAACTAGAGCAGAGCTCGTTGCAAAGCAACGAGTAGGTCTTCCGTTGGAGCTGCGAACAGGAAGAAGTGACCTTGAGTCAAGGTCATGCCACATTCTAAGGTTATAAGCAATCTTGTAAGGGGTATCAACTTGCAATGTCTCACCAGTAGAAAGACAGTTAAGGAATGTTGTTTCTCCGTTGATGACCTTGAACTCGTTCAAATGACCTTGCATCAAACCATGACACACTCTGGTTATAAGCAAACCCCATCTTTGTGTTACCGACTCGACAAGTTAACACATGTTCTTTCAGACCATTCATCCAGTCAAAACATTCTTTCCTTAGTGACCCTAAATTTAATCAACATGGCCGTAGGAACCGAGGGAGGGGGGGGGGCGTGCCCCCAATAATTTTGCCGATGTATAGATTACTATAGTAGACATAGATACTATAGCTTGTGCCACCTCGATAGAAACGTCTGATAACCTTCTTTTTTTTGCTTGTCAAGGAATTTTTGGTAGTTGGTGACCTTTTTTTTGCTTGTCAGGAAATTTATGGTAGTAGTGCCCCCTCAACTGTCAACTGAAAATGTATGGCTGTGCCCCCCCCCCAAAAAAACTCTGAATTTGCTTCCTATGGGCCTGATCAAGGCAATGATACACTCTGTATGATATCAGCGATACCCTTTTGTGTGTTTCGCAGTTGACAAGTTCACAGTTTGCATTTATTGCATGATAGTGAGGGAGACATGAAGATTTCTTCGCCCATAAAAAATCATATTCCCCGAGGGCAACTTGAAGATTTCTTCGCCCATGAAAAATCATACTCCCCGAAGGCAACGCCCGAGAGAAATATGATTTTTCATTTGCGAAGAAATCTTTATGTCTCCCTCACTATTATGCAATAAATTGTTTATAATACCGAATTAACCAAAATGCAGGAATTACAAAGGAGATCCAATGAATAAAGCAAACATGCATTTGATGAGAACGATATGAAAGAGATGTAAGTTACAGGTACACCAATAGCCTCGTTTCATTAAAAAAAAAATCCTACGTGACAAGTTTGTGTGATCACACCAGTAACATTCAAACACCATTACATTTTTACACATTTAAATCGACACAATCAATCAACGATAATATGCTGACGGTGCGACCGTTGGGCGAGTGCATTGTTCACTTAATTTTAAGATCCACCTCTTCAAACAGCACGAGACATTTGGAACGTCTAGACTGTGACGTCTCATGACGTATGTTAGCTGTATTTCCATAAACGAATTTTGAAAAGTGCAAACATTTTAATAAAGAACGTTTAATCTAATATCTGTATGCAATTCCATTAATTAAGGTGATTTTTTGGGGTGAATTTTTAGTTGTTGTTACCGCGCGAACGAAGTTAGCAGCGTCGCTATAAACAATCTAACTCCTCACTCGTTTAATTGTGACGTCACAATCGTGAAACACGACGTTTTGTTGCAGGGCAAACATGATGGACACGTGACATTCTCGGCCAATCAAATTCTATTTTACTAGTGATTTTTCACTTGTAAGCTAGTTTTCACAGAGGTATAATAAACGTTTTTTTAGACCATACATCGAAATAAATTATCATAATTTCTATAGTCGTAATTTATTAGGTTCAACTCACTGCTTTAAAGGATCATTGTAAATGTTTTATGCCCAATTTGGATACTGAACAACATGTGATTTTTGAAACACTGATGCCCCCATATGGCATCTTATGGCAAAAGTTAAAAGTTTCTCAAATGCAAGTCAAACTCCATGGTCAAGATCAAAAGATAAAAAAAAAATGTTATTACCCAAATAAAGGTCTTGAACAAAGAATATACTGTGAAATATATACTTGTATGAAAGCCACAGCAGCAACAGTTTAAAAGTTATGGCCAAGGTTAATTTCTTTAAAAGGTCAAACTCCAAGGTCAAGGGAACATAATTGTTTGTACTTGAGGGAAGGTCTTAATTGTTACAAGGAATACACATGTGGTATTAAAAAAGCCTTAGCACCAACTGTTCAAAAGTTAAAACCAAGGTTAAAGTTTTTCAAAAGTAGGACATAATCAAAGGTCAAGGTAAAATGGTCAAAATTAAAGGTATACAATGACAGGCCTTGTCACAAGAAAATTACCTATGTAATATAAAAGCCCTAGTACTAGTCATTCAAAAGTTATTGTCAAGGCTAAAGTTGTTTAAAAGTTGGTCAAACTCCAAGGTCAAGGTCAAATGGTCAAACATATTTATACCCAAGGAGGAGACTTATCACAAGGGATACAGATGTGAAGTATAAAAGCCATAGGACCAACTGTTCAAAAGTTTTGGCCAAATTATAGTTTGGTAAAATTTTGCGAAAGAGGATCAAACTCCAAGTTCAAGGTCAAGAGGTCAAATATGTTGGTACCTGAAGGAAGTCCTTGTTACTAGGAATACACATAAGAAATATGAAAGCAGTAGTTCCAACCAATCAAATTTTATGGGCATAGTTAAAGTTTTTGCGGACAAAGAGGCTAACACAGTCTAACAGACAAATAGACAGGTGGACAGGACAAAAACTGTATGCCCCCCGGATCTTCGATTACAGTAGCATAATAAAATGTCGGCGTCTTTAGGTTTTCGCATTGGCCTTAAATCTGAAAATCCAACGGATTACAAGGTGCATTACGATACGCTTTCACATCATGTTCTATAACCCAGAGCATATTGTCTGCAAAGATAAATATTTAATTCAGTATTTAATTAGCTATGCATAATTATCTATGTTGTTTTAAAAAGGAAATATAAAAAAAAATATTTGTTTTATATTTTTCGATGTAGAGATATACAGAAAATGTTTTCCAATTTTAAGTCCTATCGCAATACACATTTAAAAAAAAAGTGTGTGTTGGAGGGGGGGGGTCATTACATTTTTGCTGGGATTCGCCTATGTATGATCGTAGAGAAACAAAGAGTGGGGAGGGTGCAAGCAGCAACTAAATCAAAATTTACATATTAAAACTACAACAAAAGACTATTTTCAGAAGGTCTGCCACCCCCCCCCCCCCCCGTACAATCCGTACAACGGACCTGTGAGAAAAATACTGATCCTACATTCAGAGTCCCAGGGCACCAGGAAAGAGTGGCAAAAAGAGAATATCGGTTTATTTCAGTCTATAAGTCGAATCAAAATATCTTTTCCTCAAGAGTCTTCTTTCTTTGAGTTCTTCCCAGTGATCGTGTGATTTATTTCATTTAATTTACGTTCTGTACTGGACTTGGAAAATGAGGACATCTTTAGGTTCCTGAGCTGGCCTTGAAGCCCGCAGAACAGATTTTCTGCTTTATGATAAATTCAAGTGATATGTAATACGGTATTAATTTTGTGTTGATTTTATTAATGTTAATTTCATCAAGAAATATGAAAAATTAATGTTTTAACTATACATAGTGAGGCATTTTTTGTGTGGAACGATTATTTTGGGGGTTTCACGATTTTTTCATATGGTACACATGATGAGTAAGTGCAATAAATATAATTTGTGGGGTCTGTCCACAAGTACCTGTTGTCAAGCCCGTAGAAAACAATTACAGTTTTTTTGGGAAGGGGGGGGGGGCAAATAGAAATTTCCACAGGTACTTGTACTCGATTTTTTCCTATGGTACACATGATGAATAAGTGTAATAAATATAATTTGTGGAAAAAAATGTCCAACAAACATTGGGGTTGAATTTGGGGGGGGGGGGGATCCTGTCCACAAGTACCTGTGGAAATTTCTTGATACATAAACAGAATTTAAAAGCATGTATTAGACATCTTTTGAAGGGGAGAGGGCACGGCCGTAATTAAAAGTTATATAGAGACTAGGAAGGAATGAACTGTCATTAAATTTTGGTTAAGAACTATTACCTAAACTCTTCACTTTCACATTTTCAATTACAGATTCTTGTTTTTAAAAAGCTATACATGTACATTTATATGTATCTATTAGATGCATAAATTATGTTATTAATCATTTTATCTTAAAGGAAAAGTAAAAATCTCAATCAAACTTGTTCCGCATATTATGCTCTCTGATTCATTACTCAACAGATGCTTCATATACATGTAAGAAGGGAAGACTGCAGACTGCAGGTGTGATAAATTCACAGCATGCAGCTCCAGCCTTAATTCCAACTTTGTTCCAAAATATTATTATTCAACGCGAAAAATTAGAATTAGCCGATAGAATATTTTGAATCACTTCGGAAATGCTGCCGTAACACCAGACTGAGTTCACAATATCGAGTGATTTTGATTGACAGGTGTAGCGCCGTTGTGCATGGATTTCGTGTAACTATACATGTACTGCAGATTGTGGTTGAAAATAATAAACAAACAGATCTAAAGAAAAGATATTGTATACTATACATATATTTGTTAAGAACCAGTTCATTCATGAAACGAATTTAGTCGTATTATGTGGGCCCATGTTAGATTTGAC